CTGGTTGTCAGGGTTACAGACAAGGCTCTGGCCCTAACAAGGAAAACTCGGTATCCTTAACAAGTCAATGTAGCAACAGTACAAGTAGAAAAAGAAAATGTATTTAGTGAGGCCACAGTGAGAGGAAGGATGCAGAGCCGGTGGCTCTCCAAGGGCAAAGGCTGTGAATATCTGAGCAGTCCTGGTCAAATTGTGGTCCTGCCCATCTCTGTCTCAGCTCCAGCCTCTTCATCAAGGCAATCTGGCAAGCTGTCAGGACTGTGATATCTCCTTCTAGGAGATGAATTCTCTTCCCACTGGTGCTGAGCTCCAGCCTTTTCCTTTCTCCTGCATGAATCCATAAAGGGATAAAGCCACAGATTAGATCAGAGTCCCTGGATCCAATCACCTCCCGGAAGCCCATCATATAGTAACCAGTGTCCCAACAGGCTTGTCTTTCAGCCGGTGCTGGTGGGCGGGAGGTGGCAGCCATTCTGTGACAGATTTCTGTGGCAGCCACTCCTGATGCTCTTTCAGTTCTTGCTAGTGAATTGGGCAATGGGAGGTGAACCTTGCACCATGGTCAAGGTCACAGGCCCCACCCCTTGTGTTTTTCTGCTACAGTCAGCTTGGAAACCTTGTGTTAAGATGGGTCATAAGGAGCTGGCTAGGCGGTAGTGGCACACACCTTTACTACCAGTACACTTAAGGAGGCTGGGGCAGGTGGATCTTTCACTTTGAGGCCAGCCTGGTCTACAGAGTGAGCTCTAGGACAACCGGGGCTATTCAAAAAAACTCTGTCTCAAAAAAAACAAAAACAGAACAATACTGATACTTGTCAGTGTTCCGAGGGTTGGTGGGTGACAGAGAGACTCTGAAGTACATGATAAGCTTTAGCAGAAGCATCAGAGTGGATCAACCCCTGGTGGACAGAGCTCTGAACAGCTATGCAGCAGCCTCTAAACCTCTGATCTAGGAGTTGCCTAAGGAACCATCACCTAAGCAATTCTCAGCCACACAAGACTTCCCGGTGTGCCAGGTATGTCTCAAACTCAACTCTCTCCGTTCTCACCTGTCCGTACACTCTGGGCTTGCCTAAGCAGTGAGTTCATGTACTAAATGCTCTGCCCCATGTGGAAATGCTATTTGCTAGATCTTCATGGCTACATTGGCCTGACTCTGAGTTTCAGTGTCAAAAAAACCCATGGGCCACTAACCTGCCTGCCAATCTCCATACCAGGGCTCAAGGTAATAAAGATGCCACTGCAGTGTTCTGCCTCCCTCCTGCATTCAGGATTCAGGGGAAACAGTGGTACCCACACACCCCAGATGGGGAATGCCCTTCTTATGCTGTGAATATGTTTTATTACCATTAGTTAATTTAAAAAAATCCGATTTGGCCAATAGCTAGACAGAATAGAGCCAGGTGGGAAATCCAAACATTGATACAAGGGATGGAACAGGAAGGGCAGAGTCAGGGAGATACCAGCAGCTGTGAGGTCACAAGCTGTGAGTGGATGGTGACTGGTTAGCCATGGACGTCTCTCGGGCCTCCCTCCTGCGGCCCCACCTATCAAAGCCAATGTTTTCCCCTTCCTTCTCCCACTGCCAATCTCAAGATGGAAAAAGGTGAGCCTGGGAGGCCGAAAACGTCAACATCTGGAGACAGATTGATAGACAGGGATCTTCATGATCCATCCCCGACAAGGTCACAGAAGGGACTATAGAGCATCAAAGACCATCTTTATTTATCTTTTTTAACATTTTGAGGTTCTGTTTATCTGTGTGGATGTTGTTATGTCAACTTCAAGTTTTAATTTTAAATTTTCTAATTGAGTATGATGTGTGCGTCTTTATGTGCGCGTGGGTGTACATATGCCAAGGCACATGTATGGAGATCGAAGGGCAACTTTAGGTATTTGTTCTTATCTTTCTTCCTGTTTGAGGCAGGGAAGCTGGGCTATTTAGCCAGAGCATTGTGTGATTTGCCTGTTTCACCTCCCCTCTTGCTCTAGGAGAACTGGCTTTACAGCATGCATCCTGTATCTGGCTTTTATGTGGGCTCTGGGGATCTGAACTCAGGTCCTCCTGCTTGTGCGGCCGGAGTTCTATCCACTGAGCCACCCCTCCAGTGCACTTTCAAGTTGTTGTTTTTTTTTTTTAAAAAAAATGTGTTAAAATGCTCTTTATCTTGATTACTGGTACCCCTCCCAAACTTTGTGTCCCAGACAAGGGACTGTCTGCATCATCCATCTCTAGCGCGAGGACCGCAGAGGGCCTCACCTGCCTCTCCAGGAGAATAACCATAGCAGAAAAACTTGTGCAGGCTTCCCTCCAATTCCACACCTGCCACAGCACTCGGAGAAAACAAGACCCTTTTCTGAACACAAAGCAGTGAGTGATTAGCCAGCCATCTACATCTCCCAGACCTGCCTCCTGCCAGGCATCTTAAGCCCCTTCCCTCTGGGCCTGTTCCTTGGCCTCGGCAGGGAAGGGCCTATGTGTGTTGCCACCCAACTCAGGGTTGTTAGAGATAAATCAATCCTGACACAAAATGACATTTCACTTTATTCTTTGCTATTGATATCACACATGCACAAGTTTACTATTGATGGTGGGTGTGCACACCAGCACACACGTGCACAGACTTGCTATTACTGGTGGGTGTGCATGCCAGCACACTCGTGCACAGGCTTGAGTGGATGGCAGAAAACAACTTTCAGGAGTTGGTTCTCTCCTTCCCCTCGGGTGCCCCTTCTGGGCACTCAATTTGGTTCTGAGCCAGTTTGCTGAAGCAACATTTTTTTTTTTTTTTTTTTTAGTTTTTCTAGACAGGGTTTCTACATTTTTTAAATTTTTAATTGAAACCAACCTTGACTTAGATACCAGCCTGGTTAAAGACAGGATTTTTCTGAAGTCTTCTTGGGTGCACAAGGTCATGTCTCATTCAGCCTGAGGAGCCATAGGGCAGGGGTCAATTTCCATTTCAGAGCTACTTGAGCATGGGCACCCTCTGCTGGCCAGAAAGGTGGATTGCTTCACGCTCATAAAATAAGAGAGGGTAGCAGAGATGACTATGATCAGCATTCATTATCTACATGTATGAAAATGTCAAAATCAGGCAAGAGAGATGGCTCAGTGGTTAAAGCACTGGTTATTCTTCCAGAACACCCAGATTTAATTCCCAGCACCCAAACGGAATCTTGTAACTCCATCTGTAACTCCAGTTCCGGGGGTGACATCCTCTCTGGCCTCTACGGGCATCAGGCATGCAAGAGCTAACAGACACCACGCAGGCATAGGAACCATATACACAAAAAGGTTTTAAAAAGACAGAAGTATCCATTTAGGAAACCTTTTCACAATGAAGCCCGTTATTATGTGTAATTAGCATATGCTGAAATCATTTAAAACTAAGATGCAGAACTACTAAGAACACCTGACATCATTCCGACCTCCTCATTGATACACACCCTGGCCCCAGCCTCTGGCTTCCTCACACGTGCACACACAAGCAGGTGCATAGAATTTTTTTTCCAAGACAGGATTTCTCTGTAGCTTTGGAGCCTGTCTTGGAACTAGCTCTTGTAGACCAGGCTGGCCTCGAAATCACAGAGATCCATCTGCTTCTGCTGAGATCCACTTGTCTCTGCCTCCTGAGTGCTGGGATTAAAGACATGTGCCATCACTGTCCGGCGCACATAAATGTTTTTACAAGTCTCTTGGTTATGTTTTGTTTTTGTTTTTCTAGACAAGGTTTTCTGTGTAGCCCTGACTGTCCTGGAACTTGCTCTGTAGGCCAGGATAGCTTTGAACTCACAGAGATCCACCTGCCTCTGCCTCCCGAGTACTGGGATTAAAGACATGAACCACCACAGCCCGGCTTTATGGCAAATCTTAATGGTGGGTGTGTGAGCAGGTACAACTTTTCTTAGAAGGCAATTGGCAGTGTCAGAATTTAAATAGTTGTATCTCATCACCTCACTGGTCCTGAGGAACCTGCCTGACTCCATTTTGAAGACAGGAGCCATTGATTAAAATGTTTCCATTTACTCTAAGAGCTGAGCTTAAGTCTTTTCTGGAGCCTGACCTGCCCCAGCCCATGACCTTGACTTGTTTTGAGAATACTCTCGTGCTCCCTAATCACATGGCAACCATATAGTGGGCTTTCTGTCTGAGACTTTTCTGTATTCTCTTATTTCCCATTGTCTCTTCTGTAACTCTGCTTTGTAGCTACTTGTGATTTTACTCCTTAAAAGGGGCCCAAGAAATGGATTCCAGACTGCTCTCTTTAGCCAACTTAGGAGGCAGTCACTGGCCAGCTCCTACAAGCTTGCTACAAATTTGATACAAAATGATAGTGGTCTTATTCTCGCCCTGAGGGATTAACAGTCCCTCTTGTGGTGAGTCAGCCAACACATGCAGCGGGAAAGTAGATGGTAAATGACTCAGGTGACTCTAGGTTGTTCAGGGCCAGCTGAGACCCAGGTGAGCTGGCTCCAAAGCAAAGAGGACACAAAGGCTAAGGCACTTGAAGACAGTTTTTTAAAACAAGGCCCAGAGTGAAAGAGGAGGGTTTTCAAGGAAACAGCCATCCAGTAGTGGGAGAAGTAAAACTTTGAAAAGGAGATAGTACCTTGGCCATCAGAACATTTATTATAAAATGATATCTAGACGGGTGTGGTGGTGTGCACCTGTAATCCTAGCACTTGGGGGGAGGCAGGAGAATCAGGAGTTCAAAGCCAGACTGGAATGTAGTGAGCCTGAGCCCACCCATCTCAAAACAAAAATAAAATAAGAAAACTTAGTGAAATTTTGGTTTGGTGTTTCTGGAATAACCCTAAACAGCTCTGCCTCTTTGTACACCACATTTACACAAAGCGGGGTTCTCAGCATTGAGCGTTATGAAATTGAAACACCCATCACTCTGGAAGACAGGTGACCTCTATATTCTGCAGCATCAAATATTCAGTCGAGATTGCTTTATGTAAAAGTAAACAAGGATACTCATCTCATTAGTATGCAAATGTACCTTTAATAAATTATACAAACGCTGTACAACAAAGGGTTTAAGCCCTGTTCTACCTTATATGACACGGGGTCGGCCCTCCGACTGCACTGTCTTTCCACAGAGCAGCCTTTAAGCAGAGACGATGATACTTGTAGACAAGGTAGTAGTCCAGGCTGGGCTGGAACTACACAGCCCAGGCTAACTTAAATAAATAGTATCCTCATGCTTAGGTCTCCCAAGTGCTAGGATTACAGATGCAAGCAACCACACACGAGTTACCTGGGCTTCTGGGAGGATTTTGCTCCTGCTGAGACATTTGACATGTCTGGGGGAATGAGGGGAGTGTTTGCTATCTATTAGCTGGCTGTTGGACACACGACAGCACATGGGGCTGCTCCGCACAAGGAGCAAATGCCAAGCAGAAATGGAGAAACCACTTTAGAGCCACTTCCAGGTTCTGGGATGTGCTGACTGGGAGGCGGAGTTCTGTTTACAAGCAGATACTCTCCAGGTGCTCCAACCACTGCTGCCAGGCTTCAGGACCTGGGCGGACCAGAAAGAGGGCAGGTAAACAAAACAAGCAAGCCTCTCCCAAGTCACATTTAAGGCTCCTGAGCCCTTCTCCACCTCAATCAGCAAATGCCTACTGATTCTTGCAGTGAGGTGCCCCATCTCCTCTCAACAGCAGTTTAAGAGGGCCAGGAAGGTGGCTCAGGGGATGAAGGAGCTTGCTGTCAAGCCTGAATCCTGAATTTGATCTCTATAACTCGTATGGTGGAAGTCGAGAACTCCCATAAGCCATTCTCTGACTTCCACATGCATGCACACGCACACAAGAGCACACACGCACTCACAGCAGTTCAAGAAAGCAAGAGGTGTGGGGATCACATGAAGCAAGGTCTCGGGGCCTCTTTCCTGCAGACTCCTAATGAAGGACACACATGAGAGCCTGGCTGATATCTGTGCATCTCATAGATGTGCCCTTTCTTCCTTCTTAAGTACCGAGTGTGATGCCTGGCTTGTCAATTTCACCCGACTGCCAATGTGTTGGTTAGAAAGAGACACACCACATCAAAACTCCTTTTAAAATAATTTGTCTATTTAAATGTCTTGCGTCTTCCTCCTCTAGAGATTTACAAGCATCTATCGACATCCCTAAGACCAGAAGTCCACATTGAAGGGATAACCAGTAAAATCATCAGTACCCCAAAAGGGTGGGAGTGGCACACGTAACAATATAGCCCAATACAGCTCAGAAACGGGTGGCATATACACACTAGATCTGAGGTGCCAGGAGAAAGGATCCTTGAGACATAGATCCCACCCCCAAAAACAGTTCCAGTAAATTCAAGAAATGGTTCTCGGCGACAGACAATACTTAATCTTAAAGGAAAAAACAAAGAAGAAATATTTTAATTTTTTTCACAAGTATTCTTAACATCATCATGTTTTAAATAGTCACACTAACAAGTTACATGTTTCACAAAAATACTTGTACAGAGGAATATTCTTATTTACATCCAGAGTTGCCATAATTAGGAGAGTCAGGATTCTCAGCAAAGACAATGGCTGTGTGAGATGTTTTAACATCTGAGACAGGCAAGGAGGATCCACAGAAAAGATGAACTTGGTGCCTACAAACTCCATGAAAAAGCAAGCATCACAGTGGGACCAGCAGGCTACACAAACAAGGCTAGACAATTCCAGCCAGAAAAGTGAGGCAGCCGAGTAAACACCTTTGTGAAGGGAGAGGCCAGCCCCAGCCCTGTGCACGGTGCCAAGTGCCCAAGTGTAAGGGAGCAGCTGATCATACAGTCACACCCTCTGAACTCCAGCAGATAGACAGCACCCTGATGCTTACTACAAAGCGAATGACTTGCCTAATCCCAGCGCTGGCTAGAGAAGACCAACGTGGACCTCTGAGTCCTACCCCTACAGGAAATGAAGAGATTCAAAACAGGAAATGACAAGACTCAAAAGATTTCTCATTCACAATTTCTGTCTAGGAAATGGAGAACGCTTCTGAGCAATGCTGGCTGGCCTGCAACTGTGCACAAAGGGAAGTGTGCCCAATACAATCCTGAAAATGGCCAAACAGAGGCTGGCATGTGACATACTAATGTTCTTACAAGAATAGTGGCTATACCTTCCTGTAAACCAAAATAAAACTTCCTGATAAAAAAGGAAATCATCAATATACTTCTCTACACTATACAAATAATCTTCCTTTTCACCCTAAGGTGCAAACATGTATTTGACTTTGATACCAAGTGGTCCGTCCGGCCGCAGACAGAAGAATGTCACCCCTGTGTTCAGTCCTTCCAAGGGACTCTAAACTCTACATCCCCAGTGGGATGTGAAGGGAGGCAGGGAAGAAGTGTTTCCCCCTGTCCCCAGAACCCTGGAATCAGAGGGACTGAATTCAACATGGACAGAAGTAAAGCAGACTGGCTGTTTATGCAGCATTTTACACATTTATCATTTCAATTAGGACAATCAATGGTTAACCCTGAAGCCATTTATGGCAGGGTAGAATCCTCATTTCCAATTCCAATAGTGAAAACACCCAGGTGCCAGTCCCGAGTCACAGGACACCCAGGGAGGGGCAGGGGCCCTGGATAGGCAGCCACTGGAGCAGACACAGCTGATTGGACTAATAGGGGTCCTGCAGTGGCCTTCCAAGGGACACAGGACAGGAGGCAGGACAGAAGGGCCCAGGTACTCAGGAACACTGCTACTTGGATTCTTTTTCTTACAGTGACTTTTACATTTTAAGAATACTGATGACAAATATATATTCTTCTAAGTAGGAATTCAAATTTCCTAGAAACCTCATTAAAATGGAAGCCTACTGCTATGATGTCCGGCTCAGGGTGTGAGGACAGACAAGAGGAGAGAAGTGGAGGCTCACAGCCAGTCCCATGTGGCAGTCCCATTGCTGTGGTCTCTGTTTCCATAGGCAATAGTCAACATCTGGCCCAACTGAGTGATCTCGAGCAAGCTTGCTTCCCTGATTCCTTGGGGAGACTCTGTGAACCTCAGTAGCAATGGGTGAATACCTGCAGCTTACTCCAGTCATGCTGCCAGATCAGGAAGGTGTCACTCTGAGAGTAGAGATCTGAAGTAGCCCACAGCTGCCATGGTGTGGCACAGCCACGGTGTCCATGGCCACCAGACTCACAGGACGCGTCTGGGCACTCTACTGAGCACAGAGGCACACACCATTATTTGTGCTTATGCCAACATACTACATGTAGTCACAACAGTCATGTAACTTAGAAGTGTTCAAATACAGACAAGTCCTCACCAGGGCCTGGATAAATGCACACAGCCCTGGAGACCGAATCAACATCTCTGGCAAGGTAGAGAAGGTCAACAGGGAGAAGCAAGAGATGACATCATAAAGATACTTGTTTACATGGCTTCATTAATTTAACTAGTTAAAAGAAAGAGCTGTACACAGCTCAGAGGTCAAAGGGGACATTACTTCCATGTACCAATTCTCACTGACCTTAAACATAACTAAGAAGGAGACGTAGGGTGAAGTCTGACCAAATGCACCAGCAGCACATACTGCATGTTTCATTAGAAGGGCAGAGTGGCTAGCCAGTCATGGCAACACATGCCACTACTACCTGCGGTGTCTGCCCAGGGCCGTATCAGACACCTGCCCCACTTAACAAAAACAGAAGAGCCCACCATGAGGTCCCATGAGGTCTACCAGTGGCTGCTGAGATCTGTTTTTTTTTTTTTTTTCAATTTCACAGCAAAGGAAATCAAGCTTATGCAAATGTATACAATGCTACTTTTGCAAACTCTGGAGCCTGGATTTGGGGTTGGCACTGCCTTCTTGTTCAGAGCTTTCAGAGTGTGAGACTGCCCTTCCTTTTTCACCTACAAACTGGAATGCAACTGTGGCATCCACTTCACCCTGATACCCACCAACACTTTAGAAACCATGAGGGGACAGCATGCGACTCTAAACAGGGATGAATACAAATTCCTGGTTTTCTGTTGGGTCTTTAGGCAGACTGCAAACATTACCCCTTTTCTCCTTAACAATGTGAGATACTAACCACAATCAATTCTGAGAAGTGTCTCCAAATATCCCACTGTCAATCATTAACATTGCACCAATGAATATGCTTTCAGAAAAAACAAAATATTCACAGAAGTATACAACAATCTTACCTTTAAATAAAAATACTTTATTCATTCCTGACATGTTATCAAAATGTACAATATTAACCAAGTAAAAATGGTACTTTGAATTAGCTGACTAGGACATATTTGGAGCATTTTTAATTAACTTTCTAAGAATAAAACCCACTTCCAGTGTCACTTACCACACACCTTAATAGTCTGCATTGTGTACTTAACAATGGATACAGCGCCCATCAAAGAACACACAGCTGCACTTGGACACAGAAACTTACTACATTTGGGTTACCTTCCTTTCCAAAATCTGTGAGACATCTTCACTTCTTTTTATGTCTATGTAATCTTGTAAATGACAGAGAACACAGTACACCTGGCATTATATTACACACACACACACACACACACGCACGCACGCACGCACAGAGGATAAAGTGCAGCACAGCAGATCTCGTCTGTGACACTCACTTTCTCCAGGTGAGCTGAGCAGCTGGTCCCTCAGGGAGTCGAGGCCCTGCTTTATCAGACACTGGAGCCCTAGCTGCTTTGCTTTCCCTGTGGCTTCTCTCAGCAGCATCAGAAGTGTTGAAACTGAGTTGAGAAATCAACTCCCCAGAACTACAAGTGTGCTCCAATATTTTTCTTTAGCACTCAACACTGTTTACAAAGATGTTCCCAATGAGATCTTGTCAGTAACAAGTACGATTATAGCCACTTTAACGAAAGCAAAGCATTTAGCACGGCAGCAATCTCTACTGACCATGACACCAGACACCTGCCACTTCTGTAGGCAAGTGCCAGGCCCTAAAATGTCACAAGGTTTTGGCTGCATGTGTTTTGACAAAGAATTATTTAACTAAAAACTGCTTTTGTTCCTGAGATGAGCACATAAATTAGACAACTCTCTATGAAGCTGCCACTAGGACCCCCGCTCCTTAGCTCCACACACTCTGTGGGTCACACTGGAAGCCTCAGTCCTCCCCGTGGCGCCATTTCTGTGACTCGTCCTGCCGAACATCTGGTCTAATTTGGTTTCTCATGCCACCTAACACATTGGATGTTGCTTCGGTGGCTACAATTAGAGGCTTGACCACTGCCGGTGGGATCTGGCGCAGAACTTCACCCACAGCGCCGGTGACCCCTCTGCTCTCGTGTTCTCGAGCTGCTGTCTCATAAATGGTATGAGCCGTGTCTGCAATTCCCTGCAGAGGGTGGGAGGCAGAAAAGAGGAGAAAAGGTCAGAAACTAAGGTGCCACATGTCACACTTTCACACTTAGCCAAAATGCCTACAACTAGACCAGAACAGAAAACTAGGAAAGCAGCCAGCCGCCCTCACTCTGCTCCCTAACAGGGTCCCAGCTGTGAAGGAATTGGACTCACCATGGCAGCATTTCTCTGCAACACTACTGTGCAGACAATGGTGCTTAGTCAGTCCCAAGCAAGGAAGCCCACAGAAACACATCATAACCTAAAAGAAACTTCTGGCCCAACGAATCCCCCTAGCTAAATACAACTCTGCAAAGAGGGCCTCTGGAGTAAATGCTCTTGACAGAGAACCGCAGTGAGGATTCCTCTGATGCAGCCCAAGAAAACTTAGATCCACTCAGTGCTCAGAACACATGTACTCTGCCTACAATTATGAGCATGTCTTAGAAAAGAAGCATGGAACATATCCAATTAAGATAAAAATCCAAATCAAACACTTTACGGGGTTACACAGAAACTTCCGAAACCGTGAGTGGGCGCCTACAGTGGACCCACAGCTTCAGCAGCGCTCCACCCCTGTCACAACTGCTAAGTTTTGAGCTGAATGCACGCATGCTGGGCCGTGACAGAGCCCAACTTCATAGGAGTTCAGGATGTGTGTCCTAGGTAAGGGATCTCAAGGAGGGGCTGTCTGGATTAGAGGGCCTCTGCAGAGATTATCTTGATGACCTCAACTGAATAGGGAAGGCCCGCCACAGCTACTGTGGATGAGCAACTCCTGGGCAGGGAATCTCCAAGTGGAAAGGACGAAGCAGACCCAGCAGCATGTGCTTCTACACATTTCATCCTTTGACTGCAGATGCCATCTCCAGTTGCTCTAAGTTCCTGCTGCCTTGATTTCCCCAACATGACACACTGTGCTCTGAACTGGGAGTTAAAATAAACTCTTTCTGCCTTAAGTTCCTTTGCTCAGAGTATCTACCACAGCAACAGGAAAGACACCAGGATGTCACAGGTGTGGAAGTGTATGTCCATAACCTCAGCACTGGGGCTATGGATTGGAAATAAGAGAGGAAGAACTATACTTCAGACACAGTTCCCTGGGACCCCAAAGGCTACTTCTGTGCCGTGAGGATGGCTACAACATCTGACTGCTACCAGAATATGGTTAGAAAGCAAATCTAATGAATCCCAAGTAGAATGACCACAAACACCGCGTGTCATGGCAGGAAAAGGAAAGAGGCCTGTGAGTGTCTTGCCAACACTTGGAGAGCACCAGGCTTCACCAGCACAGCTGGTAGGCCGCAACACAGGGCACCTGCTGCTAAGCCTTGTGGCCTGACTAGATCCCTAGAACCCACAAACAGGAGAGAACCAATTCCACACACTGGTCCTTTGACTTCTACATAAACACTGTGCCATATGTCCCCCACAAAACAAAAATAAACAAAAAAACCCAGAAAAGTAAGTAAATAAAAGTAAAAATCTAATGTGGAGATTCCCACAGTTACCACTAGCCAATTTTATGGGACTTCTTGCACACATGAACACAGACACAGCTAGAAAATATTCCCAGTTCAGTGTCACACAGGGAACAAAATGGGAACTAAATGCCCACCAAGAGGAAAACATGGATGGCATATTCCTACAATGAAATACTATGAGACCATTTAAATGATATTATGTGTTCATGGATGTATCGTGAAAGTGTTACAGGATACACAAAACACTCTTTATGCTAATTAAAATATAAACACTGCTATGTTCGGCTTAGGAAGACTTACACAATCTAACTGTAAAACTCTGTCTAGAAAAGCTGTGACAACTTCAGAACAGTGAGGGAAGCAAGAGGAAAGCACCGACTCAGCAGCAAACACACTACATTAAGCTACACTCACTACCTGGCTTTCTTCTGCTTTCCACATACCAGTCACATGCTACCATTAGCAGCTTACATGCCATTCCCAACGATTCTTCTAAGACATTAAAGTCAGCGAATACTCTTTGGCTAGTTTCTATGTCAGCTTGGTATAGGCTAGGGTCACTTGGGAATAGTACCTCAACTGAGAAATGCCCCCACCAGAATGGCCTGTAGGCAAGCCTATGGAACATTTTCTTAGTGATTAATGGGTAGGGCCATCCCTGGACTGGTGGTCCTAGGTACTATAAGAAAGCAGGCTGAGCAAGTCATGAGGAACAAACCAGTAAGCAGCTCCTCTCCATGGCCCCAGCATCAGCTTCTGCTTCAGATTCCTGTTTGAGTTCCTGTCCTGACTTCCTTCAGTGACAGATTACAGTGTGGAAGTATAAGCTGAAATAAAGCCCTTCCTTTCCAAGTTGCTTTTGGTCACGGTGTTTCATCAGAACAATAGAAACCCCAACCAACAAACAGAGAAAGCATGCAAGCCAATTCTGACTTGCTACATACCTCTTTTACAACACTGTAGGCCTTGGCCACACCTTCCCTCAGGTCCACTGGCTGGTGGGCTAAACGGTGATGAGGAAATCTCTTTGCCTTCTTAGGTTCAATAGAAAGGGTACCTGGAGACACCATGTCATAAGCAGTCTCTGCTGCTGCCTGGGTCATTTTGTCAAAAGGGAGAAATTAATTAGAAGATAGTCTGGAGCACTGGGCACCAAAAGTGTGGCAGTGCTCTCCTGTAGGGTATAGAGAACCCACACACAGATGGCGCCTCTGCTTAAACGTCCATAACAAGAGCTTAGGACTTTCACACGTGAACAGGGAAGGTAAGCTAAAAGCTCGCATCTGGATTGAGCTGACCTACTCAACCCCTTCCTTTTATTATCCTATGTAGCAACTTTCAACACTTCTGTACAACCCTATTACATGTTCTTAAACTTAGCTCTGATCCTTTACATAGATCAGTGAAATAAACCCCCTGCTGACTTAATAACTGTTATTTTCTTGAAATATGCAAACAGACTTGGCAAGTTTGTTACCTAATGCTCAGTACTAGATAGCTAAACAACTACCAAGCACCAAACAAAGTGTGGTAGTGCACACCCGTACACCTGAACCCTTGGAAGGCCGAGGATATAAACTATAAGGACAGTCTGGGTTACTATAAGGACAGTCTGGGTTACATGGCAAGATGTCTCAAAAACAAAATAAAACAAAACTCAGTATGATAGCAAATCATTATAAATGAGATGTCTACCCTCAACATTTCACACATCTTCATGGGAGCTGCTATACAGGGCTCATCTGTCCAGATGAGGCAGGCAGGGAATAGTACCTGTATGGTTTGAACCATTCTGTTTGTGAGTTCTAGAGCAGCCATTGCAGTTGAGGTACCAAAGGAAGCAGCACCTCTCTGGAAGCCTCTGACGATGCGGCCATCCTTCCGGTACTGCTCGATTGGCAGCCACACCAAGTCTTTGAGGCCTTGCACTAGACACAGAAATCACAATGATAACTGTAGGCGACAAGAGTCTAATCCGTTGGCTCCTTGTCTCATTCTCACCATGGTCCCCAAAGGCCAGGCTTCCCAAAAGAAATACAGGCTAAGCCATATATGTGATTGGAAGTATTCTAATAATTTTCTCAAAAGCAAACTTAAATTTAATATTTGTAACCCAGATATATTCAGAATATTTTCATTGTAATATAAAGTCACTATAAAAATTATACGTGTGAGTGTGTGTGTGTGTGTGTGTGTGTGTGTGTGTATGGGGGGAGCCCAACCCTGATGGAGGTTCTGACCCTAAAACTAGGGGTAAAGTTTTATGTTCATGTTAATATGCATGTAGGTTTTAAAAAAAATGTTCTTTTAATAAACTCTTACGGTATCTGTAACTCCAAAAAGATTTAAAAAGACAACTCACCTAATTGAACTAGTGAATGCATAGGCCCAACACCTCCTAGGATTCCTGGTAGCTGGTTCTTCTTAATGTCAGTGAGCCATTCGGTGATTGCATATGAGAACAATTTGTCAATACCTAGCAAACTGGAGGAAATGAGTGTCAAGGCAAAGGAGGAATGGAGGCACACACCTAGGACTTCTCCTGTGTGGAAACTACATAGCACAGGGGCAAAACACTACAGATGCTCCTAAAATGGCAAAACATTTTTATATCATATAAATCAGCTACTAAATTCCCAATCTAAATCTGTGTGTGTGTGTGTGTGTGTGTGTGTGTGTGTGTGTGTGTGTGTCAGAGAGAAGACGAAAGACAAAGATTGACAAAGCTCAGGAAGCTTGCACAAGTGAGAGTGTCCTCCGCTGCTCTTATATCTTGATCCCCCATGGCTAAGGTACAGGGTACTAACCACAACCACATCTGTGAACCCAAATTCTTGTAACCAATAAGCCAACTTACAGCTTTAACAAGTTATCTTAAAATATCCTAAAGGAAAAATATTTTCAAGAAATACTACTCTGTTCCAACCGCTTCCACACCCTCAAAACAAACATTAATGCCAGATCAGTAAGGTCCGCCAGAGCTGTGCTCTCTGCAGAAAGCACAGGGCAGGCGAGCAGCTAGCAAAAACACTCCACTTTTATCTCTACAGCAGCTTAGGCCTCACCTTAAAGTCTCGGCAGGTCAGCCTACTCACCCGTGCCTATAGAAGAGCCTCTTCAGCTTTAGCTCAGAACAGTTCAACTGGGCCAGGCCAATCAAAATCCCAGCCAGTGTTCCCTGAAATAGGAAGAGAGGTCAATTAATCCATAAACTAAGGAGAGACTCCACATTTAACATAGCTGTTACTGGGGAAGTCCAAGCAATATTCTTTTTGTTGGGCGGGGGGGTTTCGAGACTGGGTTTCTCTGTGTAGCCCAGGCTGTCCTCAAACTCAGAGATCCACCTGCCTCTGCCTCCTGAGTGCTGGGATTAAAGGCGTGCACCATCACTTACTTTCTACGACCTGGCTACTCAATATTCTTTAATGAAGATAAATACTTAAAATAATTATAGAAGGAAAATACTTCAGAGAGTTACAGAAAAAAATGTATTTTATATGGTACAACCCACTATACCAGCTAATGATCAACAAGTATGAAATTTCACTTATAGTGCTTAACATTTACTTAGAAGCACATAAAGTTGCTGGCTTCATGTTAGACACATGTACATGCATAAAGCATGACAGCAACAACTTCATCTGTTATATTTTTTTTCTTTTTTTAACTGAATCTATAAGAGACACAGAGAACACTGCTAAGATGGCTCAGAGGGTAATGATGACCTGAGTTTAGTTCCCAGATCCCACACTGTAGGAGAGAACTGGCTCTCATAAGTTGTCCTCTGACTTCCACACAAGTGCCTCCTCTCCTCATGCATTCACTCCCTCCATAAGAAATAGATGCAATTTTTAAAAGATAATTTTACATTACATATTCACGCAAAGTGTCCACACCTGGTCCATTGACACATGTTTGCCATGATAGTCAAGCCGAATAGGAACTTCTGCCGTGAATCTGAATTCTCTGATGGGGGGGAGCAAAGGGAGATAGTTATATTCAAATTACTAATCATAAAATTAGACCTAACTGGTTAAAATGAAAAATCAAACAAAACCTCAAAGTAAATTAGAAGCACATCTCATGTCCTAAATACGAAAGAATGCCCTTTAGCTCCACTTTCTCTTAATCGCGACTAGACAGACAATTCTATTGTAGTTAAATGTTGTCACAAATGCCTTTTCTTAGTTTATTAAATGCTTATTCTTAAAAAAAAAATGTTTACATATTCTCGTCATATAGAGGACAAATCAATAAAAGTGGCCTCAAACATCAACAAGAAGTAGATAGGAGAGGCAAGAAGCCCATTCCCTGCTCAGTGTGAGCAGAGACAGACCCTGGCCTGGCCCCTGCTGCTAACAACTACATGGGATTCAAGTACAGATGTCTCAGCTCTCTGAGCCTCAATTCTTCATCACTGTAAAATCACCCTGGCAAATTTCGGTGAGAATCTGTGAGATGAGTGCTTGTGAGTAGACGTGAATATACTAACACTGGGAATTCTGGGGATGAGTAAACTATACACTGTTGATATATGGCCAACAACACAGTGAGCTGTCTTCCTACAGCTGACTGGAAACTGAATGCTCAGAACCCAAACCATGATTTTCCTCAACAGCATAAATGCTAATGGCTGCACACCAAACCACCTCAGAAAAGCCCCCTGTACTTACAATAAAATGGCAATGTATTATCTATTGCAGGGTTACTCTGCACAAACAAGGAGCGATAGTTAGACAGATAGTTATGCAAACAGGAGCATGAGGCGCATAGCAATGTGAAGGACCACTGATGGCCCTCATGCTTGTCAGTCCACTGACACACTCCAGAGCCATCATTAACTCCATAGAACGTCATTTGTTAATAAAATTAATATACTTACCTAAAAAACACAGGCTGGTCACTAAATGAAGCTTCCTCAGCTGAGAAGTCCTTCTCCTTCAGTCCACTAGCCCCCTCCACTGAATTGGCACTACGGTTTGAGGAAGGTTGCTTTGGCCCAGGGAAAGAAACAACTAGATTTGGCTCCTTTGAGGTACTCAAATGCCTTGGCAAACTGCAGGTGACATCAGCTCCAGGAGACTTTGTAACTGCAAACAAGAGGGGTGCATTTGAAGGCAGCTCTAAGACGTTCAAGCACCATGGCAATCGATACTGATCAGTCTGAGTGCTACACAGAGAAAATGTAGCTCCTATTACAGAGAAAATCTGTTCCCACCCTTACATCACTACTGTTACACACCCATTCGTATTAATTAACACAGAATGTACATATATGCATAGAAATAAGCTCTGCAAGTATATTCTTAAAAATAACACACAGCAGTTAAAATCAGTCTAAGTACATCCAGTCCTGATTTAGCAATAAGCTAACTTAAAATTCTTCCACCTCACAATGGAGGTGTGTACATTCTGTAAAAACCGTACTTGGGACCTACCCATCCCCCAACCTCAGAGAAACTCTGAAGCACAGACTGCAACTGCACAGAGCCGACCAAGAACAGCTCCTAGGACACAGGCAGCAACTGCAACAATCAGTCCAAGAGAAGACCCTTGAGTCACAGACACCAGCTGCAAGGATGGGACCAAGAGGCAAAGACACAGCTGGCAAAAATTGAAAAAAGTGATGGGTAGGCGCCAAAGCAATTTCATTCAACAACCTAAAAGCAACATGGTAACACCAGAACCCAGTGGTCATACAACATGAAAACCTAATTATCTAACCCAGAAGAAGCAGAAGAAAAATCTTAAACATAATTTTATAAAGATGATAGAGGCACTTAAAAAGGAAATAAAAAATTCTCTTAATGAAACGGAGGACAAGACAAACAAAAAACTGAAAGAAATCAGTAAATATCTTAAAGAAAACCAAGAAACAACAATCAAACAGGTAAAGCAAACAGATCAAACAGTTCAAGACTTGAAAAGAAGAAAATACAAACCAAGGAAATTCGGGAAATGGAATATCTGGGTAAATGAACAGGAACTACAGATGTAAGCATAACCAACAGAATACAAGAGATGGAAGAAAGACTATCAGAAGCTGAAAATATAATAGAGGAAATACATTCATCAATCAAAGAAAATGTTAAATCCAACAAAATCTTAACAAAAATCATTCCGGAAATCTGTGACACCATGAAGAGACCAAACCTACAAATAGGGATGGAAAAAGAATAAGAACTCCAACTCAAAAGGCACAAAAATATATTCAAGAAAAATCATAGAAGAAAACTTTCCCAACCTGAAGAAGAATATACCTATGAATGTACAAGAAGCTTACAGAACACCAAATAGACTGGACCAAAAAAATTCTCCTCACCTCATCATATAATAATCAAAACACAAAACACACAGAATAAAGAAAGAATATTAAGAGCTGCAAAGGAAAAAGGCCAAGTAAAAATATAAAGGCTGACCAATCAGAATTACACCCAACTTCTGAATGGAAACCATGAAAGCCAGAAGGTCTTGGACAGATGCGCTGCAGACACTAAGAGACCATGAACGCAAGCCCAGACTGATACAAGCCAGCAAAGCTTTCATGCACCATAGATAGAGAAAACAAGATATTCCATGTTAAAACTAGATTTAAACAAACCTATTCATAAACCCAGCCTTACAAAAATGACTCCAACCCAAGAAAGCTAGCTGCACCCACAAAAACACAGGCAACAGATAACCTCACACCAGTAAAGTCCAAAGAAGGGAAACACAAATACTACCACCGAAAAATAACAGGAATTAACAATTACTGGTCATTAATATCTCAGTATCAATGGACAATTCGCCTATAAAAAGACACACTAACAGAATAAAGATGAAAGTAAATCCAACCTTCTGTTGCATCCAAGAAACACACCTCAACCTCAAAGACAGACATTACATCAGAGTAAAGGTGTGGGAAAAGATTTTCCAATCAAATGGACCAAAGAAATAAGTAGGTGAAGCTATCCTAATATCTAACAAAATAGACCTCAAACTAAAATCAATCAAAAGAGATAGAGAAGGATACTTCATATTCATCACAGAAAAAATTCACCAAGATGAAGTCTCAATCCTGAACATCTACGCCCCAAATGCAAGAGTACCTGCATATGTAAAAGAAAAATTACTAAAGCTTAACATACAAACATCTAACCCCATATAGTAATAGTAGGAGACTTCAACACCCAAACTCTCACCAATGGACAAGTCAACCAGACAGAAACTTAAATGGAAAAAAAAAAAGAATAGATGTCATGACTCAAATGGACTTAACAGACATCCACAGAACATTTCAACTAAACACAAAACAATACATTTTTTCTCTCAGTACCTCATGGAACCTTCTCTAAAATTGATCACATACTCAGTAACAAAGCAAACCTCAAGGAATAGTGCCCTGTGTCTTATCATATCACAATGGCTTAAAGTTAGAATTCAATAACAATACTAATTGCAAAAAGCCTACAAACTCATGAAAATTGAGCAGTGTTCAAGTGAACCACCCCTGGGTCAAAGAAGAAATAAAGAAATTAAAGACTTCCTAAAATTCAATGAAAATGAATGCACAACATACCCAAACCTATGGGACACTATGAAAGCAGTGCTAAGAGAAAAATTCATAGCATTAAGTGCCTACATAAAGAAAGTAGAGAAATCTCACACTAGCGACTTAACAGCACACCTGAAAGCTCTAGAACAAAAAGAAGCATACTCACCCAGGAAAAGTAGATGATAGGCAATAATCAAACCGAGAACTGGAATCAATAAAATAGAAACAAAGGAAACCATACAAAGAATCAATGAAACAAGGAGCTGGTTCTTTGAGAAAATAATTAAGATTAAAAAAAACCCTTATCCAAACTAATCAAAAGGCAGAGAGAGAACATCCAAATTAACAAAATTAGAAATGAAAAGGAGTACATAACAACAGACATGGAGGAAATCCAGACACTTAATATATCATACTTCGAAAACCTGTACTCCACAAAATTGGAAAATGTAAAATAGACAATTTTCTGAACAGGTACCACATACCAAAATTAAATCAATACCAGACGAACAACTTAAATAGACTATAGCCTGTAAGGAAATAGAAACAGTCATCAAAAGCTTCCCAACTAAAAAAGTCCAGGGCCTGATGGTTTCAGCACAGAATTCTACCAGAACTTCAAAGAAAAGCTAATGCATAGGCTTCTCAAATTGTTTCACATAATAGAAACAGAAGAAACATTGCCAAACTCTTTTTATGAGGCTATAATTACCCTGATACCCAAACCACACAAAGACTCAAACAAGAAAGAATTATAGATTAATCTCCATCATGAACAATGATGCAAAAATACTCACTAAAATACTAGTAAACCAAATGCAAGAGCACATCAAAAAACTCATCCACCAAGATGAAGTCAGCTTCATCCTGTAGTTGCAGGGAAAATTCAACATACAAAAATCTATCAATGTAATCCACCATATAAACTGAAAGAAACAAAAACATCATATCATCTCATTAGATGCTGAAAAAGAATTTGACAAAGTGCAACAGTCATTCATGATAAAGGTCTTGGAGAGATCAGAGACACAAGGAACATATCTAAACATAATAAAAGCAGTATACAACAAGCTGACAAGCCAACAACTAAATGGACAGAAACTCAAAGAAATTCCACTAAAGTCAGGAACAAGACAAGGCTGTCCGCTCTCTCCATATCTCTTCAACATAGTTCTTTTTTTTTTTTAAATTTATTTATTTATTAAGGATTTCTGCCTCGTCCCCACAACCGCTTCCCATTTCCCTCCCCCTCCCCCGATCAAGTCCCCCTCAACATAGTTCTTGAAGTTCTGGCTTGAGCAATAAAACAACAAAAGGAAACCAAAGGGGGTAGAAATTGGAAAGGAAGAAGTCAAACTTTTGCTATTTGCAGATGATATGATAGTATACATAAGTGACCCCAAAACTCTACCTGGGAACTCCTACAGCTGATAAATACCTTCAATAATATGGCAGGATACAAGATCAACTAAAAAATAACCAGTAGCCCTCCTATATACACGTGATAAAGAAGTTGAGAAAGAAATCAAAGAAAGATCACCCTTTACAATAGCCACAAATAATATAAAATATCTTGGGGTAACACTAAACAAAGAGTGAGACACCTGTTCGACAAGAACTTTAAGTCTTTGAAGAAAGAAACTGAAGAAGATACCAGAAAATGGAAAGATCTCCCATGCTAGTGGATAGGTAGGATAACATAATAAGAAGGGCAGTCCTACTGAAAGTAATCTATCAATTCAATGAAATCCCCCTCAAAAATCCAACACAGTTCTTCACAGACCTCAAAAGGACAATACTCAACTTCATATGAAAAAACAGGATAGCCAAAACAATCCAGAGTCATCACCATCCTTGACATGAAGCTCTAATATAGAGCCACAGTAATGAAAACAGCTTGGTATTGGCATAAAAACAGGTTGAAAAATGGAATCGAATTGAAGACCCTGATATTAATCCACATACCTATGAATACTTGATTTATTTTACAACGAAGCTAAAATTATACAATGGAAAAAAGAAAGCATCTCAACAAATGGTGATGGTATAACCAGATGTCAATATGTAGAAGAACACAAATAGATCCAAATCTAATTCCCATAAACAAAACTCAAGTCCAAATGGTTTAAAGACCTCAAATTAAATCCAATCACACTGAATCTGATAGAAGAGAAAATGGAAGCAATCTTCAATGCATGGGTACAGGAAACCACTTCCTAAATATAACACCAGTAGCGCAGACACTGAGACCAACAATAAATAAATGGGACCTCCTGAAACTGAGAAAAGGACATAGTCAATAAGACAAAAAGGCAGCCTACTGAATGGGAAAAGATCTTCACCGACCCCCCCCCATCAGAAAAAGGACTGATATCCAAAATAAATAAAGAACTAAAAAAAACTAGACATCAAAATACCAAATAATCCAATTAAAAAATGAGGTACAGATCTAAACAGAATTCTCAACAGGAGAATCTCAAAGACACTTAAGGAAATGTTCAACATCCTTAACCATCAGGGAAATGTAAATCAAAACGATTCTGAGATACCATCTTACACCAGTCAGAATAGCTAAGATAAAAAACACCTCTTATGTTTTGCTTATGTTATGTTTATGCTGGAGAGGCAGAATAAGGGGAACACTCCTTCCTCCACTGTGGTGGGAATGCAAACTTATACAATAACTCTGGAAATCAGGGTGGCGATTTCTCAAAAAATTGGGAATCAACCTACTTTAAGACCCAGCAATACCACACTTGGACATATACCCAAAGGATGCTCAATCATACTATAAGAACATTTGCTTAACTATGTTCATAGTAGCATTATTCATAATAGCCAGAACCTGGAAACAACCTAGATAAAGAAAATGTGATACATTTACACAATGTAGTACTACTCAGTGGTAAAAAAAGAAAAAAGAAAAAAAAAAAAAAGACCGACATCTTGAAATTTGCATGCAAATGGATGGAACTAGAGAAAAAAAAAAAACCATCCTCAGTGAGGTAACCCAGACCCAGGAAGATGGGCATGTACTCACTCATAGGTGAATACTAGCTGTAAAGCAAAGGATAATGAGCCTATTGTCCATGACCCCAGAGAAGCTAGGTAACAAGGAGAACCCTAAGAAAAACATACATAGATTCCCCTGGAAATGGGAAATAGATCTCCTGAGAAAATTGGGAGCATAGGGGTTGGGGGAGAAGGAAGGACAGGAGGGGAGAAGGAAGGGAAAAAGGAAGGGGAAGGGGAGAACTTGAGGAAATAGGATGGTCAAGATGGCAGAAGGACAGAAACAGAGAGCAAGGAAAGAGATACCTTGACTGAGGGAGCCATTATGGGGCTAGTAAGAAACCTGGCACTAGAGACATTCTCAGGAATCCCCAAGTATGACCCCAGCTAAAACTCTAAGCAATGGTGGAGAGGATGCCTGGACTAGCCTTGCTCTGTAGTCAGACTGATGACTATCTTAAATGTCATTATAGAACTTCATCCAGCAACTGACTGAAGCAGTGCAGAAATCCACAGTGGAGCACTGGGAGGAGTTCCGAAAGTCCAGTCAAAGAGTGGGAGGAATGAAAATATGAGCAAAGAATCAAGACTATGATGGGGACAGCCACTGAAACAGCTTACCTGAGCTAATGGGAGCTCACTGACTCTGGCCTAACAGTGAGGGAAGCAGCATAGAACCAAACTAGGCCCTTGAAATGTGGGTGACAGTTGTATGGCTGGGGCAGACTGTGGGAACACTGGCAGTGGTACCAGGATTTATCTCTACTTCTTGAACTGGCTTTTTGGAATCCATTGTCTTTGGAGAGATACCTTGCTCAGCCTGTATATAATGGGGAGGGCCTTGGTCCTGCCTCAAAGCACTGTGCTAGACTTTGTTGATTCCCTATGGGAAGCCTTGCCTCTCTGAGGAGTAGTGGATAGAGGGTAGGAGTGGGGGGAGTGTGAACTGGGATTGGTATGTAAAATGAGAAAAGATAGTTTAAAAAAAAAAAGAAAGAAAAGAAAGACAAAAGATGGTATTTGGAATACGAACTCCGAGCTTTTCCTAGCAGTGTGCAGTTCTGTGCTCTTGTAGTGTTTGTTGGGTGGCCACCACCAGCCACAGCTCTTTAGTCAGCAGTCGCTAGGGAAAACAACCAATACTCTACAATAGTGTGCTGCTGCCATCACTAAGTGGGCTCCAGGCACTAGATTCATTTCTGAGCTACAATACTCAGCTTACAAAGGCATTCTGAGGATGTGACCCCATCCTGAGTAAGGCCTCCATACACACCACAGAACACTCAGACTGAACGTGTTAAGTACCTTCTGGATCTGGAGTCAAGAGAAGCTCCACTTCTGTAGAAAGACTTGTGAAGAAATCCTTGAGGAAGAACAAAGCGTCCTGGAATGGAGACAAGTCACTGTCACTAACAGGACAGTCTGCAGGCTGTATGCACCAGTCACCACTGCACAGCAGTCACTGCACTTCTCGTCGGCTCGCCCACCACTCATCTCTTCTTGTCACACACATACAAGCCCAGCATCCCTATTATTTTTTACAACTATGAAAAAAAAATACAAACACAGAAAAAGTAAAATCTAAATAGCTAGGAATGGGCAGGGTGTGGTGGCACCCGCCTTTAATCCCAGCAGTGGTCTATATGGAGGTCAACCTGGTTTGTGTCGCAGGTTCCAGGACAGTAGAGACTACTCAGACCCTGTCTCAAAATAGAAACAGAAACAAAACAAAACACAAACGACTAGGAAAAATTTCTAAATCAAAGTGTATTTTTGTTTTCTTTGCAAGAAAATGTTCTCACTTGCTCTTAGCATGTGTTCTCATTCTAAGTCAACAATGGTAACAACACTATTAGCAGCAGATGGTATATCTTACATATTTACCTTGTGCCACTATTCCCTAGAACTTATTTCTTCTTTAATCACTATATTGCCTTAAGACAGTTCCTTCATTGAACAAGATATTCAAAATGGGAATTTGAAGCTGTGTGTGATGGACATGCCCATAAATCCAACATTTAGGAAGCTAAGGCAGGAGGATTGCCAAGAATTCAAAAATGCCTCAGCTACATAGCAAATTACACATTAGCCATATTAGAGCAAGACTTTGTCTTTAAATAAATAAATACAAATGAAATCAGCCACTCAATACAGTCTTTTCTGCAGTCATATATGAAAAGCAAAGGTATTGGCTCTGGGCTCACACCCCTCCAGTTGCCAAAACACTGAACTGACAAATGCAGGGCATAAAACACAAAATTGAAAGCCTAAGTCCATTCTTTTCTATCCTTCCCTCCATCAAAAACTCTAAATTCTATAAAAAATTAACACTGTATCCAATACAATGTGACTGTGAGGTACATGGTCACAACGTTGGTTCACAACAAGAAAGTATGACTCCTAGTTTCCAATGATGTGGGATGTCCCTTCTGCACATGTGTTGCTTTTATTGGCTGATGAATAAAGCTGTTTTGGCCAATGGCTTAGCAGAGTAAAGCAAGGTGGGAAATTTGAACAGAGATATATAGAGTAGGCAGAGTTAAGGAGACACCATGTAGCTGACAAAGGAGAAAAATGATGAATCTTACTGTAAGCCACAGCCTTGTGGCAATACAGACTAATAGAAATGGGTTAATTTAAGATGTAAGAGCTAGCTAGAAATACACTTGAGCCATGGGCCAAACAGTGTGGTAATCGATATTGTTTCCATGTAATTATTCAGGTCTGGGTGGTCAGGGAACAAAAAAGCAGTCTCCATTTACATAATGGTGTCCCATGTGGGGCAACATACATCCACATAAAGCCTAAGAAAGCTTTAAAAAAAGTGCTTCTAGGCCCACAAAAAAACAGGAGTCAATTGGAGTTTCATGGTAACCACATAGTTTCAAATAGGCTCTGTTTGTTGGCAGCGAGCAGAGGTGTGGCACCTTTCAAAACAAGGCTTCCTAACTCAGAGTTAGCAGCAAAAACTGCATGGCTTGCTTAAGAGCCAGCTTCCTGTTTTGTGCTGGTGACAAGTACAGCTCTGACTCTTTCGAAAGGTAGTGCTATGGAGCACTTAAATGGGGTTTGTGAGCAGCATGGTACAAATTGCTTTATGGTGACAGAGACCCACTACATCCCTGTAGTTGGGGCAGTGAGCTGGCTTGCTGAGCTGGCATGTTGGACAAGGCAGAGTCAAAAAGAAAAGCAGCAGGTTTAGTCTTAGCCATGCTGCTTAGTATTTTAAAAAGCACTCCTAGTTAAAAAAAAAAAAGAGAGAGAGAGAGAGAAAGCATTATAGATTCAGACAAAAAAGACCTCTGAATGGCTCACAGTGTTGAATTGATATACATGGGCTTAAGAGAGAGAAAGCAAAGAGTACAGACAGTCATAGATTAAAGGAGTAAAAATAATAAAATAATTAAAAGGTAATAGAGTAAAATGTCTTGTAAATATGGAAAATACACAAAGAGTCTGGCTTATGTATATTATTGTGTTTTCTTTGAATTTTTTGACTATGAATGAGCTAACTACAGAGAGACATGTCATTGTACAGGCTGCTAAGCTAAACCAACAAACAAATTTTGAAGGAATCTTGACTTCAAAATTTGAGTCTAAGGATATGTTACTTTGGAAAAGGGATTCTGCTTTTGTTTCCACAGAAGATGAGAACCTGTGGATTCCTTCTAGGCCAATGTGGTTTGATGGAATAAGTCCTGCCAAAAGGTCTCCAAGAACCCTAAAAATACATTGTCCAACAAACAGCAGGAAGCAGTTTGGAGAAAACAAAACCTAAATTCTTAAAATGATAGTTCCGAAATGTTTGTTTTCAGTTAAAGGGGGATATGGTATAGAAATAAATACTTTGCGTTGGTATAGATCTTGGTCTATTGATACAGATTTAAGATTGATTTTGTTACCTGTGTATATGTATTTCTGCTCTTGTTTAAGGTACTGTGTTTATACAGCTTATTTAAAATGTAATGTATATTTAAGAAATACAGATTAATAGTCATCTATAATAATCAAACCTTTAAATATGTTAGGTTTGCTAGATATACAGAGGTATATTTCAGTTAGTCTTCAAAGACCTACAGAATATGGCATTTAAAATGTTTTAAGAACTTAGACTTTTCTCAATGAGACATGCCTGCCTCTGGCAGCACCAATTACTTCAAGAAGATGATGGGCATCAAAGAAGCTCCTTATGGAATTTTCTAGTCATTTGAGCAAGAAGCTGTTCTTGCATGGACTGCTTGATGATATGCTGTATGAACTGGACATTGAGGACCCACAGAAAAATGACTGCTGAAATTGTCTAAAACAGGTCAGACATTCCTTCAGGGTTCCTGCTTCATGAAAGACTCTGCCAGACATTCTGCAGGATACAAAAGAAAGTGACTAACTGCCAATATAGATGAAACAATCTTTGAAATTTCTTGCTTCATGGAAAAGTCTGCCAGATACTATGGGCCTGTCGGCTGAAGACTGATGCCCCAACGTTACAAAAGAACTTTGGGTGACTGCCCAGGCAGTGAGATGTCTCCATCAATTCTAGAGTTTTAGAAGTTGCTTACAATGCACTTCTTGTTTACTTAAGTAATATTATATTCTCCTGGGGTCTTTGATGGAGTTGAAGACAGATATAGTAAGAGCTTTCCTAAGTTTTGATAAAAGATAAATTAGATAAAAAACTTTAGATATAAATAGACTAAATATTATAACTGTGTAATTCTTGCTTGATACCTGTTTTGTTATATGCAATTTTACTTTGTTAAAGTTAAAACCTTCCTTTTTAATTAGAAAAGGGGTGATGATGTGGGATGTCTTTCTGTATATGTGTTGCTTTTATTGGTTGTTGTGTAAAGCTGTTTTGACCAACGGCTTAGCAGAGTAAAGCCAGGTGGTAAATCAAAACAGATATATATATAGAGTAGACGGAGTCAAGGAAACGCCCATTAGCTACCACGGAGAAAGATGCCAGAACCTTACCAGTAGGCCATAGCCTCAAGGTGATACATAGATTATTAGAAATGGGTTAGTTTAAGATATAAGAGCTAGCTAGAAATATACCTAAGCCATTGGCCAAGCAATGTTGTAATTAATATTGTTTCTGTGTGATTATTTGGGTCTGGGCAACCAGGAAACAAATAGTCTTTGCTTACATCCAAGAATTTAGTTACTTGCCATCCCATTTATATTTAAATAATGCAGGTGACAATATTCTAGGTAATATGGTGCCTAGAAGTCTGAGATAATTCCACCAATACCTGGTTCTGAGGCAAGTAGCAGGTTCACAGAAGGCTCATTATTGTGTCATGTTCAGTACATGTACATGTACCTGTACCTGGCACTGTTTACACTGTACATGCTTATTACATGTTCATATCATACTCAGCATTGTATGTTAACTAACAGGATATAAAATTAAAGTTGTAAATGTTTTAATTCCAAGACTGTTCAAAAAAAAGGAAAATATTAAATATAGATTTGTTCTTGAAGAAAAAAAGAAATACTAAAGACACACTAGAAACCCTGGCTCTTTTATGATGTTCCTTTTACTGCAGTATTTACATTTTGCTGTGAAAACAGCACATCAGAAACGCCTCACAAGAGAAGATTCAGCGATGGTTAATAAGAATGTGAAAAGAGGCTACACAGACAACCATCAAGGAACCCCAAATGAAGATACAGAAACACTAAATATAACATCAAAAATTTAAAAGATGACAGAACCAAGTTTGGCCAGGACAAGAAGCAACCAGAATACTTATTGGCTACTACTGGGAAACAGTTAAGTAGCTGCTCATAGTACCTGAAGGACCTAGAAGTTCTGCTTTTATTTACTACACGTATGTAGATGCATGTACGTATATGTGAAAAAATACACACACATGTACATTACCCAAGTGAAAAGAAAAATATGTCCATAAACACTTCTATACAAATTTGACAATGGCCTCATTTATGAGCACTAAAAGTGAGTGTGAACCAGCAGGCAAATGGGTAAGCTGGGGCACATGTGTGGTGGGTGACACCTACAAAGTCAAGCTGTGACACAGAGGAACCCCACAGACAATCCAGAAGAAGGAAACCAAATGTGCTTCTGTTTATACAGAGCCACAGCCAGGAAAGATGTCACCCTGAGGTGAGAGGAAAACTGATGGCTGTTTGGAGATGGTGAGGCCCAACTACACAGGGGAGAAAAGATAAGGCATTTCAGCTGACAGAGTAGCTAGCAACTCTGCAAGAAAAACATCTATCTCCACTGCAGGCTTAACATCTCTACACTTCATAAGAGTATTTTAGCATAATCATTTAAAAATTTAAAATTTAGGTTCAGTATTCAGTGTTAAACTTGGACTGTAAAACATTTATACCTAGCCTGAGGTTCTATGATAGAGCGGATTAATAGTACTGTGTTAAAGAATTACTTTAATGCCATGCTCACTCTGAGACACAGGATGATACCATGCAGCCATACAATTTCTATTTTCCTCACTGTTTTCTCTAGGATTAATATTTGTCCCCTTTTAAAGTAACTGTGCTTTATAGTTCTACAGAAGGAACTACAGTCGATATTAAAGAAATTTGAGCTTGCTAAGTTTGATAAGGCCATGCAATAAAGATGATTCTGAGTCAGTCTTCTAATGGTAGGAATTTCCACAGGTCAATTTCCCGATAAATATTTCACTATATATCTAGTAAGTTGGCACATGGATAAACTGAACTAAAATAGAAATATCAAGGGGACTGGAGAGATGGCTCAATGGTTAAGAACACTTGCTACATTTGTAGAGGACCCAAGTTTGGATCCCAAGGCCCATACTGGGCAACTTACAACAACCTATAACTCCAGTTCCAGGGAATCTGAAGCCCTCTTTTGGCTTCTGTAGGCACCTATACACATTGTGCAAATGCTCACATACATACATACTACATATATACATACATACACTACATACATACACATAGAAATACACATAAATAAAAATAAATCTTTTAAAAATATGCATATCAAAGTTATTTTCATAATGAAAACTACGAATCTGAAGTCTGACCAGCTCAGAACCTGCAAGCATTACATACATACCCAATTTTCTCTTGCAAAGCCTCTCAGACTGGTCCTGCCCTGTTTACAGTTTGAGCACTTATTTCAATTGATGTCTGAGATGTCTATCGTTTGCTATAGATTATCCAAATTTTATTTAAGTGACAACATCAAAAATCAGTATTACTTAGGCAAATGTACAATGCTATCCACACATATGCCAAATCTAAAACTATGAAAGGTTTAACAAGAGATTTTGCTATTTTATAATTCCAGGTATGTTCTGCAGCTGTTGCTTGCTTCTGCTAATATCCATGAATGTTCACACTCCTCATCCACAGCATAAGATACCAGGTACTAAATTAAATGTTCTCCATACATTGTCCTATTTAATGCTCATCATGCACGTATTACTGCCTCTGTCATTAAAGCAAAGCCCAAGGAAATTTGATAGGATACTTGTCCCAACATAAGAAAAGGATTTTCTTTACAACTTCCCATAAATCTGTTTATATTATGGCCTCTTTACTTATGGCCCCATTTACTATTTTGGTATTTCGCCTAGCACAGAAAAATTCTCTTGGAAAATCTGTAACACCATCTCTTCTAACATTTAACACATCCAGGAGCCCTTTAAGTCTCTAAAATTATGATGCCTGAGTTAGGTGTCCACATGGAGTGGAAAAAAGAACTTAGTCCCATATCACACATATCAGCATGAAATGGAGACGGCACCATAAGGTCAGACTTCAAACTGTACAAATGACTCTGCCCTACAGCGTCCCAACTCTCTCAGAAGTTCAGCTGTACTAAATAGACATAGATACTCCCTTACTTTAGTCCTAACTGCACCAATTTGCACACAACACAAACCTGGTCGATATTGAGGCGAAGCGGCATCAGTGACACCCTCAAGCAGCATTCCTGCGGTAACCTACCAGACTCTGGACGGACGTGCAATGCTTTAATTGTCAACTACAAGAAAGAGATAAAAACATTTTCCCTGGTGACATAATGACCTTGCTCTCATTTAAAAAAAATTTAAAGAAGTAAACAATCATATTGCCAGCTAATAAAAATATCAGAATTTTGAGTTTTGAGGCCAGCCTGGGCTAGATGGTGAGACTTTGTCAAAGATGGAGGAGGAAGATTATATTTACCCTCCTTCCTTAAAAGCCTGTTCAAACTTCAAGAAAGTCTTATGACAGACTCTTCAGAGGATAACAGCAAATGACAACACTGTGGCTTCAGGCTCAATGGGGCTTGCTGAGCTCCCAATGCTAGTGGACAGACCCATCTTCCAGAGCCAGCCTGCGCTACACCTCCAAAGTCCAGGGCTTGCCGTTCCCCCTCACTAACACTTAGAGTCTTCTAAGTGTGGAGGGCTGACAACATCCTAGTTATTCTCACACAGTTCTGTTTTACCTGAGCAGTGACAGAGCGGCAATTATAGTTGTAGTCTGTAAAATAATTCTTGAACACAAAACTTAAAATAGTATATTGAAAAGTAATTTTCATATTAAAAAGAGAAAACACTTTTTTCTCATTTTGATAATTCTCCCCACTCTAATTCTACTGCAGTTAGACACAAATAAAAATGTTTTTCCAGAACTAATGAAAAGAGCAAGGCTTCAAGGCATCTTACCATGTTGGAATGAGCTTTACGAGGCATGTCTTTGCTGCAATACAGGTATAAAAATTTGTTCATTTGTGATGTCGCCAGCCGATCTCTAATTTCAAGATCCTGAACGACGAACACCTGCCTGGAGACCGGGTATTCTAGGAGGCTGGACTCACACTCAGGCTTACATGGGGGGTAGACTTCATGCTGAAACTTCACCTTCACACAAGAACAACAAAGCAATCTCAACTTTCACTTGAATTTGGCTTTCTCCTTTGGTGGGGGGAGGGGTGGGAGTCGATGTATTTACATTTTTGTGGCTGAGTGTGTCTATGTACCATGTGCGTGCAGTGCCTACAGGTCAGAAGAGGGTACTGGATCCCTGGAACTGAAGGCAGAGCTATGAGCCTCTCAGCCAAGCTAAGCATTAAACTAATATAAATGTCATCAGTGCTCTGTCCTATGGTTTCCAGATGTTCATAGTGGGACCTTCCCTAGGTGCGTCCCAAAGTCAGGCCTTCCTAGACAGACAATTCAATAGAGAAAAGCAAATGCTGGGCAAAGCTCAGAAACACCGACCATACAAAGGCGTCAGGGAACTCTGTTTCAAGGGTGGCCTTGGGAAAACAAAACACCTCAGGCTTTTCAAAGCATAAAAAAAAAAAAAAAAAAAATTAAAAAAAAAGTGAGCCCTATACTCTATAAGGCAGGGACTGAAGGCTTCTGATGGGTATGAGCAGAACCCCCCCCCCCCCCCAATATGCCTACTGAAAAGATTCTTCTCTTTCAAAACACCACCTTACCTTGCTTAATTGGATTTCCATTAAAAAGTCATGATTTCTTCCTTTGCCCCCATAGACTGTATGACGTCCATGCTTTGTAGGTGTTTGAGAAGGTGAGCTATGGGGACTACTAAAAATGGAGAAAGAGAAAAAAATTAAAACAAAAACAAAAAAAATTATGTTAAAGCTGGGCAGTGGTGGCACACACCTTTAATCCCAGTACTCAGGAGGCAGAGACAGGCGGATCTCTGTAAATTGGAGGCCAGCCTGTTCTACAAGAGCTAGTTCCAGGACAGGCTCCAAAGCTACCAAGAAACCCTGTCTAGAAAAACAAAAACAACAACAAAAAAAAAACCTCTGTTAAAAGAATATTGAATTTAATGAATGACATCAGAAAAATTAAGATACAAAAAAAGTAAGATACATGGAGAAAACATTACAGAACTACTATAATGTTCCACAAACTGTGTCACTATAAATCTAATCTTATCACCCAGCCAGGAGTGGTGGTGCAATCCCAGCTTCTCCTGAGGCTGGAGCAGAACAAGCGGTCTGCCTGAGCCAGAATGAGCTGAGTGGGACAGCTTATGCCTACCATGTGCGTGAGGTTCAAGTCCCAACGCCATGGGAGAAACATGTCATTTATATTTTGGAAATACTGAAAATGCAGTTTTTATTACCGCATTTTTATTATAGTAGGCATTCACTTGCTAAACACTGAGACCTAAAACAAAACCTAATTATGATGCTGGACACCAAATAAACTCAGAACAAAGCCTCTGTAACTTTTCCTTTTGTCTCAGACATCCAAGCAACAACAGAGTTCAACCAGGACAGAAGCATTCCAAATCATCAGTGAGGAGAAAAGGTTGCTCAACTGGTGTGCCAAATGGTTCTTCTGGGCAGCTTCTGTGCTACCCCATCCCACAGACACATTTGCTCCAGCACACCTATGCTTTCTACTCGTTCTCTCCTCCCACTACAGAACACTGCTTTGCTTGGTCATCAGCTCTGGGGATGGAGAGGTGGCTCAGAGGTTAAGAGCACTGGCTGCTCTTACAGGGAATCTGGGTTCGGTTCCCAGCACGCACATGGTGGTTCAACCATTTATCCATAACTGCAGTTCCAAAGGATCCAACTCCCTCTTCTGACTTCAATAGTATCAAGTGTGCATGTGCTACACAGACACTGACAGACAAAACACACATATAAAATAAGTAGGGCTTTTTTTAAAAAAAAAAAGTTTAAAAAATGAAATACTTGGCTCTACTCCATATCCTGTGAGATGCTGGGGGCCCAGGGCAAGCATGAACTCTGCCTCCTGACACACTTCATTTGATGGACCCAATTCAGTTATATAACCTTTCCTCCCTTTGAAACTTTGGGCAAGAAATGGTATCATTCATTTTCATAAACAGACACATGATGGGTAATGCAAACATCTTCTAAGTCAATACTTTAGTAAATACACAAGAAATACAAATAAGTTCACAGCTAACATTAGGTGTGAGATTTAAATTACATACTTGAATATTAATTTATTCTTCCTTTAAAGTAAATACCAGGGTTGGAGAGATAGCTCAGTGGTTAAGAGCACTGACTGCTTTTCCAAAGGTCTCGAGTTCAAATCCCAGCACCCACATGGCAACTAACATCGTCTGTAACCCTAGTTTCCAATGGTCTCTTTTGACCTCTGAGAACACTGCCCATGTGGTGTACAGACATACATCCCCATAAAACATCCATACACATAAAAATAAATCTTGAAAAAAGATAAATGTCATGTGTTTTTCTATGAGCCATTAACTGAGCTTACATGTAACTCTTGGCTGGAGAAGGAGGAGGAACTGTTGCGAAGTCCTCGCCTCCATAGAGATGCCACACCAGAGAGACTTCCTTCACAACATAGCGAATGTCAGGGACAGGAAACTGGAGTGGGGCTTTGCTGCCAGCTGTCCTTGTAATGGGCAGACTGAAATAGTCGTCTCTTATCACAATCGCTTCATCAACCATGACCTTTACCACGGGCTCTTCTTCCTTCTCCTGAAACACGCAACAGAGCACGTTCACTCACCATAAGCGACTGGTATACCTCACAGACCAGCGGGTTTCCTTGAGTCTACATTTTTCCCAATAATTTCAATATATAAAACAGTGTAATAATTTATTTTCTTTGAAATGGAGTCTCATACTATAGCTCTGACTGATGTGAAATTCATTAGGTAGCTGAGACTGGCCTTGAACTTGTGGCAATCCTCCTGCCTCCTGAGGCCTGGGATTACAGATATGTATCACCACATCCAGCTTGAGTAATAATTTCTGACATTAATCATCACACAATATATTGTACTTTACTGATCATAAAATAAAATCTGCTCCATAAAAATCACCTCGTGAATAATTTCTAAAGCTTATAATTTGGCTTGTACTATTTGATAACTTAAAGTAGACAGTGTGTGTGTGTGTGTGATTACAGTTTAAAGTCATACTGCATTCTAAACCAAAACCTGACAAATTTCAACTTACTATTCAAATGATCATGTTTCTAATTAAAGGCTTACCCTGAGTTCAACTGCTTTGATAGTGCATGGGTTTTGGGTTTTGTTTTTTTGTTGTTTTTTTTTTTTTTTAAATCAGAAGTTCTCAGAACCTACAGTCACCTATGAAGGCACTACTAGGCAGTTCTAGTTCATCTCAACCAAAGTCAGTCTTCACACATCTCAGTTCTCCAGAGTTTACACTAGCCATTCTGCAGCCCATCTTCCCGTCACTCCTGTAACGTCCCTTACATTCAGCAACTGCACTTCTTCACTATCATGTGGAATATTATGCAAATGTAGCACAGTCTCTGAGCTATGTGTTATAGAAGTGGTCTAATATCCATTTATAAAACACTAATGTAAATTTATAAAGATGAAGTAATTTTGAAGTGGCAAGAGCTGCAGATTCAAAAGACCTTCAGATGCCCTTTGGTCCATTTAATTTGTAACACTATTTTAAAGTTTCAATTGTGTTATCAAAGTTGTTACCTGAATGGCTACTTTAGGTGCAAAAAGAATGCAAAAATCATCATTCTCAGTGGGTGCACCTGCCATTGTGTCGCTGATCAGGTGGTGAGTAGGGGAAGCATAAGTAGGGCTTGGCTCCTGGGACACATTCCCACTCTCGTCTGGGAACAAGAAGAGGTCTGAACAGCACGGCTCCTGAGCGTGCAACTTTTCATCCAGGACACCTAGACAGAAAGACGCAAACTTCAGGTCAGACACGGTGTGCTCGGTGCTTCCACCTATGATACCTTCCCTACTTATCACAACTATATGAGTCTGGGGCTTAGGGAGGGCTGAAGCAACACAAGCACCTCAGTAAAAGGCATAACTACCTCAAAAGCACAAGTAGCTGACTCATAATCAACTTGAAGTTCTCTAAGAGAGTAAAGGAGAGTAAAGTTGTTTCCCAGTTATTCTGTGTAAGAGAAGTTCAAGAATTCAACTGGCGGTGGTAGCTCTTGCCTTTAATCCCAGCACTCGGGGAGGCAGAGTGTTCAAGGCCAGCCTGGTCTACAGAGTTCTAGGACAGTTGGGAATGTTACACAGAGAAACCTTATCTCAAAAAACCAAAGGGGAGTGGAGTAGGGTGGGGGAGGAATTTAACAATGGTCTGTTCCCATTAACTGAAGTTTCTGTCCACATCAGTCTTGGAAACTTCTTGGGCAACACTGTAAAGGGAAGGAAAAGAGAATCATCTAGCAGACCCTCACCCAAAACTACAGGAGTCTCTGCTTAGGGAAGGGGTGGGGAAAGTGGCCGAGCTAACTCCTGGGCTCCAGAAACCTATGCTGGACACTTGTTCTCATAAACGGCTCTCTTACAATGAAATTAATAGATGATATCATGTGTGCCAAAAATCTGTACAGGAACACTGTTATCCATTCTTTCTCTATTCATTCAAACTGAATACTGATACAGGATGAACACACACAAAAAAATGCTTAAGAGTGCTTCGGCCTCAAGAGTCTCCCAGACAAGCATTTAAACACTGTCAATAGCACTGCAAGCCCCATTCCCATCAGTGTCTATCTAGTGCTTACTGAAGACTCATGTATAATATGTAATCAGGGTCCCTTCCTATTCAGGCCAGCTGCTGCAATTTAGTACACAGGAAGCTGGAAGCTTAATCCATATCCTTAGTTATAATTTATCCTAAATTACTATGAACGCAACATTGGATTTTCACAGGATGCATATAGGCCGGCTGGCCCTATTGTCAAAGCTGTCCTTCAATTCTTGACACTAACTCCATCTCCCACGTACTAGGATCTTAGGCAGATACGACCCTTCCCAGCTCTATCAAGTATTATGTTTAAATTAAGGTTTACAAAATTTAGAAATAAATATGTTCTCTACCAGGCATTGTGGCACATGCCTTAAATCCCAGCACTTGGCAGGTGGAGGAAGGCAGATCTCTGTGAGTTGGAGATCAGCCTGGTCTACGTAATAAGTTCCATAACAGCCAGGGTTACATAAAGAGATTCTGTCTCAAAACAAAACAAATAAATATGTTCATCCAATCAGAAAAACTGTTTTAAAACAAATGTGTCAAGATATTTAGATACTTCCATTTGGCTTTCAAGACTTTTTACTCACCTGGTCCCTTCCTGCTTTTCCAACTTCACTGTTGAATTCTTCTCAAGTGAATGGCACTTCTGTTCCACCAACAGCTAGATAGGTATCTACAGACCATGCATGCCTTCCTCTGTACTGTAGTACAGACAAATCTATGACCTTACCAGGATAACCTTCTTCTCATGAACCCCCCCCCCCCAACACACACACAGCAAACTAATCCTGTCTCCACTAGACTCATGAAACTTCCAAACCACATTCCAGGCTATTTTATTGTGTCATTTCTCAATCATTCAAAGCAGTAGCACCCATCTCCTGACAGTCTGTCCTCCCAATAGGCAGCAGACACAAGCTAATTGGCTGGTACATATCCATAAATACAGATGAGTCTTTAGTAAGTTTCTCACTGAAAATGTACAAGAACACAAATAATGTGACCTCAGTGCTCCCAAGGAAAAGCCCTTCTCACCATTAGCCTCTGGTCCGACAGGGGCAGAGGCCTGCTGCATGTCAATCTCCTCCATGGCGTCACTCATCAGGTCCCGTAAAATCTGCTGCTCAGCTTCAGGAAGCACGGGGCCACGTGATGATGACTGAACACTGGAATCTACCTACAACCAAAAGGCCAAGGTAAAAATGGCTAAAGCTTGGCAGTGGCATGCACTGCACTCTCGGCTACTTAAATGGGGAAGCAAGAGGACCACTGGGATCCCAGTATACAGTACACTGCAAGGGGGCAGAGAGCAAGGGCCAGTGGAAAGTGCCTGTTGAGAACAACCTTGGAGTCATTCCACCTCACCAACAACAGGAGCAGGTCCCTGCTCACTGGTTACACTCTGCTCAGTGGTCAGTGTTAGTGTAATCATTATCACCTCAATAGCTACCAACAAGTACAAATAAATAGGAACTTAACTCAGATGCAGAAGGAGAACCAGGACCCTGCAACAGTGATGGGAGGGGCTGAAAACCCCTGCTGCGCAGTGAGGGGGCTTACTGAGAAAGTCTCCTCTACTCAAACCATACTGCTGACCCTGGACTCTGGAGGGCAGTGTGGATATAAATAGAAGAGAAGAGCTGAATGGTGGCTCATTTACGCTCAACTCTAGTACCACCACTTTAAACCTAAGCTGTGTTCCCCAAAATGTGAGCACTGCTCTGAAATAGAAAGACACAAGTACCTCTGGTAAACTGGACGACGTCTTTCAGAATAGAAAGCAGGGAGTGTCTTTGGCCACCTCAGTACAGTGGAGCACAAGAGGGACAGAAACAAAGAGTTGGGTGGTCTAAAAAAGCACGCAAAGCCAACCAGACCCTTGCTAACAGAACTGACCCATTTGAGCAGTTCTGAAGTGCCTTGGACTAAAAAAAAAAAACCTAAGGATTCTGTTCACAGAAAAAGCTGTGAAGAATAGCACTGCAAATAAACACCAAAACAAACAGGACACCATACAAGCTGGACACAGACATCAGAAAGGGGACACTTGCAGCATAAGAAAGCAGTGACCTTGAAACTGAGATGGGGACACCTGTTCTGTTTCCCTCTCTGACTAGGGAAGTCACCCAAGCGATACCGTTCAGCCTCACCTCACTGAGCGGGGATGGAGGAGTTAAGGCAGTACAGAGAACGAGTGGAAGCACTAGCGTACAACTAAGTCTTTAGGTTGCAGCAGCACCTGCCACTAGCTGCTGGCAGATTTTGACACAACTTGTTTTCTTCCCTAAGAACAGGGCGGAAATAACAGAAATCCAAGAAAGTATTATGTTGGTTGAGATCTAAAACGAAGAGCAGACAGTAGAAAGGCTTTCCACAGAGGCCCCGAGTCACCTTTCCAGACCCACTACTCTCACTAAGTGACATCAGTGGGATGGTGTATTGCCTTGCCTGTACCTTTGGCTTTCTCTGTGGGACTCCAGGCTTCATCTCTGCTTTGTTAGACCCATGTAAGTCCCCGTAACTTGCGACATACTGAATGAGATTCATTAGCGCAGCGCAGGAGTCTGAGCAGGTTCTGATATGGACGACATCACTGGAACAGTGCAACTCAAAGCGAGGCGCAGTCTGGACAAGGCATGGGGAGAAGATGACAAACACTCTTTTTCAGACAAGAGTCACCAACTCCTTACAGAGTCACAGGAACTAAAATATACACTCATGGACTACAGAGAGGGGTCAGAGGTTATGAGCATTTATTGCTTCCACAGAGGACCAGGGTTCAATTCCTAGCACCCACAGTGGTTCACAACTGTCTGTAACTCCAGTCCCTCTTCTGACATTTGCAGGTACTAGGAATTGTACGTACATGCAGGCAAAAATATTCATATACATAAATGAATCTAAAATAAAATATAAACTTATTTGTTTTTGTCACATAAAAAGTACTTAGATCATTTCTAGTTTTCAAATATTTTGACCAAAATTGGGTGAAAAAAAATGTTCCAATACATTGTATCTTTTATCTCTTATGAACAAGATTTAAGTAAAAATTTCCACTTTTTGTAACTGACCTGCTCTCCGTCAGAATCTGACTTCACTGCAGTTATGGTCAGCTCTAAAAGTCCCATGTCCATCACACGAACATAATCTAAAATTCAATATAATACTTACTGTAGGTTTTAAAAACTACTCATCTAACCAACATCTAACAGAAGTAACCTCTGTTCAAAGTACACTGCAGGAGGCACTAGGGCTTGTAATGTAAGAGGACACAGACAGGTCCATCCTACTCACTGAGACTTCATCTGACACCTCACTTGATTTTAGCTAGAACAAATGACTAAATATTAACAGATACTTAGGATATATAGAAAAACGAAGCTAACACCATAAGAACATTTTACCCTCAGCTGAAAAGCCAGTACCCACTGAATTCTGAAGATGTGTGCAGCAGTACTCTCATTATTCTTTATAAATAAAAATTCAACAGTCAGATATCAGAGAAATATCCTGAAAGATCAGAGAAGCAGAAAACCCACCAGTCCTCCCTACCTGCTGTTCCTTCCTCCAGAGAACCAGATCCCTCTCTGCCCTACCTTACTACTTTCTGTCCTATCTGTCCTCAGTCTTCCAAAACTCTGTGTTTAATTTTAGTCAACTAGCCCTCTGACACCAAGCAAGCTTTATTTATAAAAACATGTTGAAAATATCATACAACAGATGTAGCACACAATTACTACACATTTGAACATCCATTAAAAGTACCTCACAAGAACCCAGCTTTCCAACACTATTTCACATTTAAACTGATATAATATACTCACTCATACACACACACACACGCTTATTCTGAACTCACCTCTATTCAGGTTTATAGTGACAGTGTTACACTTGTCAGATAGGAGTAAAGCAGCTTCATCCATGATGATTCTGGGGAAAGAAAATGAAATAGCATCTGAAAAACAGAGCTCTGAGCATCTTCAGGTGTACGTCACCCACAAACATAAGTGGGACCCAAAACATGCATGAAGGTGCCAACACAACAGTAGCTAGGCTTTGGAGGCAGGTTGGTTGTTTCAACAGATGCCCAAATCTGAAACATTTCCATTCCAAAGATAATACATATCTGATACTGAGAAATTGACCATAGGCTCTAAAAAGCCAACTGAGAATCTCAGAGATGAATTCCTTCCCTAAAACTAAAACACTGCAGAACGCAGAGATGCTCTCTTGATCAACTAACATCATCCTCCAACATCAGATCAAATTAAATGATTGAGTAAGTGTCAAAAACAACAACAACAAAAAACCTGAAACCCAGTAATGAGAGGAGCAGAGGGACATGGCCTTGAGGAAGGAAAAATGAGCAGCTCAGATGCTGCTGATTTAACAATTTTCCAAACAAGTGGTGGTTTAGGTAAGGAAGCGCTGGTTACTATAACTGATACATTTGAACAGCAGCTGGTGCAAGATGAGTTCACAGGTACCTGAGAGTGGAAGAAGATTTATCCAAGGCAACGCTGCTAGAAATGCTGAATGTCTCAACAGTAAGAAGGGATCGGATTGGCAGGTGAAGGGGCCTGGCAAACAGAAGCATCAGGTTAGCAGCCTGATACAACAGGACTCTTCAAAACATAACTCCAATCACAAATAATCATAGGACTTCTGGAGGGTTTTGCTTTGGTTTTTTCTTTTAGGTTTTTTGGTGACAGAATGTCAGTGTGTACCTCAGATGGGCTTCAAATGTGCACTCACTCACTTACCTAAGGCTGGGGAGTGTGAGAATTGTAGGTGTGCAGTACCACAGTAGGCAGAATTGTGTGCCTGGGGAGTGTGAGAATTGTAGGTGTGCAGTACCACAGTAAGCAGAAGTGTGTGCATCTCAAACATTAGTGTGCTTTAATTTTTATTACTGATGGAGGAAGGTCATTGGTTAAAAAATAAAGAAACTGCCTTGGCCCATTTTATTGGTTAGAACATAGGTGGGTGGAGAAAACAGAACAGAATGCTGGAAGGAAGAGGAAGTGAGCTCAGAGACGCCATGCTCCCCTCTCCCGGGCAGACGCGATAGCTCTGCTCTCTGAGGCAGGTGGCGATGCAGCCAGCCACCAGGTCAGACATGCTGAATCTTTCCTGGTAAGCGCACCTCGTGGTGCTACATAGATTATTAGAAATGGGTTAAGAGGCTGAAACTAATGGGCCAGGCAGTGTTTAAAAGAATATAGTTTGTGTGTTGTTATTTCGGGGCATAAGCTAGCCAGGCGGCCGGGGTGACAGGGACGCAGCCCCGCTGCTCATATTACTACAGAATGGCACCCAGACGTGTGGACAACTGTATCCACTGAAAGCCTGAGAAAGCTTGGGAAAGAGTAAAGCATGTTTTCTTGGTAGCTGCGATTTCTCGGGTCTGCTCTGCTTGCTAGAAGCAAGCAAGCGCTCTCATCTAAGAGAGGCTTCCTGACTCAGCTTCAGCTGCAAAACCCTGCAGCTCTTAAGAGGTCCTGCCACGAAACATTTAAATGGTGTTGATAAAAGTCGACTGAATGCTTGTTTGTTTTCAGCAGTAGCAGGAAAAAACCTGTGTTGTTTTAAAATGCCGGCTTTCTGGGCCGTCCTGCCAGGGCAAACTCTGACTATTTGAGGCAGGAGGGCCAGCTACAGAGAAAGGACTTGAGTGTTGTCTGTTGCAGTTTGTTTGATGGCAAGGACCTTGAAACACTGTAGACCTGTGGCACTGAATGCAGCTCTGGCCGGTACCTCAGCCACAAGGTTGGAATGGCAGAAAGCTAAGGAATGGGCTACATCTAGCCGGCAAAGCCACGGCCTTAGTCCTACTGATATTGCTTGGTAAATTAAAGACTCGTGTGGTCAGAAAAAGAGAGATATACAGTAAAGACAGATTCAAAGACAAAGAAAATTTCTAAATGGTTTACAGTGTGTTAAAAATATATGCAAGCTAAAAGTTAAAAGTTCTTAAAAGTAAAAAAAAGGAAGAAAGAGGGTAGTTGGGTGTGGCAGTACACACCTTTAATCCCAACACTTGGGAGGCAGAGGGAGATTGACCTCTGTGACTTCAAGGTGTGGTAGCACACACCTTTAATCCCAGTGCCTAGAAGGCAGAGACAAACAGGTCTCTGTGAGTTCAAGGTGTTGTAGCTTACACCTTTAATCCCGAATGCCTTGGAGGCAGAGACAGGCGGATCTCTGAGAGTTCAACGACAGCCTGGTCTACAGAGTTATTCCAGGTCAAAGATACAGAGAACCTGTCTCAAAAAGCAAAAAAATAAAGTAAAAATAAACAAAATAGAGATTAAAATAAAGCGCACAAAGATGGAAAATACACAGAGAATTTTGATACTGTATGCTATTATGCTCTGTTTGAATCGTTTGAATGCTGAGGAAGGACCAACAGCTGTTAAAAGATATTTGTTTATAAATGCTGCTGAACTAATCCAACATAGATATTTTGAAAATGCCTTGACTTTGAAATTTGGATCTAAGGACATGATGCTTTGGAAAGGAGTTTCTTATTTTGTTTTCACAGAAGGTGAGAGTCTGTGGATTGCTTCTATCCCAATATGGTATGATGGACCACGCCCTCCTGAAGGGTTGCTGTGAACATCTTCAGAAAATTGCTTCGCTCAACTGCCAACTGAGATGAAATTAGCACACAGGTTATACCATGAAAGACCTAATTAACGACGCCCCCATTCAGCAGGAAGCAGTTTGGAGAGAAAAAACTGCGCCCATGTTCCCAAATATGGTTTATAAATGTTCGTTTACATTTAAAAGGGGGATATGATATAGATATGAATAATTTACATTGATATGGATTTTGCTTTAGTGATTTAAATTTAAGGTCTATTTTGTTATATGTATATGTGTCTCTGATCTTGATTAAGGTATTGTGATTGTGTAGTTCATTTAAAAATGTAATGTATATAGGTTGTTAATGGATATCATTAATAATAGTCATTTGTAGTCATGTTAGTTAGATTTTCTAGATATATATTTCAGTTAGATAGGCATTCTTCATATCTTTCAAAGACTACGAAATATGCTATTTAATGTTTTAATAACTTAGGGTTTTTCATGACAATGAGACACGCCTGCTCCTGGCAGCACCAATCTACTTCAAAAGGAAGCTGGGCATCGAAGAGGCTCTTTATGGAGTTTGATAGCCATTTGGGCAAGAAACTGCTCTTGCCTGGACTATTGCATAAACTGGACACAGAGAACCCGCAGAGAGAGGACTACTGAACTTGCCTAAAGGTGAGATGATCTTTTGGGGTTCCTGATTCATGAAGGAGTCTGCGAGACATTCTGCAGGACACAGCAGATAGTGACTGAACTGCCTTTGAAATTTCCTGCTTCATGGAAACGTCTCTGGATACTATGGGCCTGTAGGCCGAAGATGGAGTTCCCCGACAGTACAGAGGAACTTTGGGTGACTGTTCAGGCAGCAAGATGTCTCTGTCATTTCTAGAGTTTGAAAGTTGCTTATTTCTTGTTTGCTTAGGTAATATTGTATCTTTCTGGAGTCTTTGATGGAGTTGAAGAATAGTTAGTTATAGTTTTCCTTAGTTATGATAAAGATAAAATAGATATAAATATTGTAATTTTTACTTGATAACTGTTTTGTTATATGTAATTTTGCTGTGTTCCCAGGGAATGAACTCAGGTTATCAGGCTTGGTGGCTCTAAAATCAAGTGTGTTTTAAATAAGACTCTACCTTGTTCCATTCATGGACTCACCTGTAATCAAGTGCACAGCTCCAAAGATGAACATGAAATGTTGTAAATGAAGTTGGAGGGTTATATCCCAAAACAGGTTCATCAGCAATATTCAAGAAGTTTAAAATCTACAATCACAAAACATAAACACTTTAGAAGAAATGACATCTTGCTAGAATACATTTAACAAGTATGTAACAAAGTGACTTAGGATGCTACAAGAAAATACAGCTGTTCTGAAGGGATTCATTTCAAAAGTGTGTGCACTCACATCAGGGAGGCCACAGAAAGGGAGAGATGCACTGAGTTACCACAATAAAAATCTCACTGTGTGTGTCTTTATCACAGCCTAGTGCTGTGTCCCTAGATAACACAATTAAAATGCTAAAGTACTTGCTAAACTGGAATTTGAAATGAAGAGTCACATCCAATAACTGAATGTCACAGACACCGTAGAAAACCCCATCTTATATTTATGGCCAGACCATCCTAAACACACCCAGTCCCCTCTGATCTTGGAAGGTAAGCAGGGTTGGACTGCTTAGTGCTTAGTACTTGGATGGGAGAAAATCCCATATATAATACAATTAATAATTCGTGAAAAAAACTAATTTTGTTAAAGACTACTTTTCAAAAGTCTGGTTTCCATGAGGTATGGATATACATGCCTACAATCCCAGCTACATAAGAGGTTGAGTCAAAAGGATCAAAAGTCCTAAGTTAGCCAAGAGCTACTTAGCAAGACCTTTCTCAAAATGCAAAATGGAAAGAGTGGAGGAGTAAAGGAAGGTGAAGAGGAAAGAAAAAGAAAAAAGAGGAGGAGGGAGGAAAGCAGTAGCTGTGTAGCTTAGTGGTGGAGCACTTGCTTTATATGCTGGAGGCTCTGAGTAGGAGGGGTTATCTCTGGTTTCCTAAGAAACCCATTATGGGAAGGTAGAGGAATCTAGCTATTTTTTTTATACAATTCAATAAATTCTTTTTCTTTAATTTATATTACTCAGTCTGAAAGCTAGGTCCTCTGCCACAACCTGTTCTTTCATACTCCCAAGTAAATGAAGAGGTTATGCTAAGTTGCTCCCTAGCCAGAGTGTGTACGTTCATTACAATTTATAACAGTTAGCAGAATTACAGCTGTGAAGTAGCAACAAAATAATTTTCATGCTTTGGGGTCATCACAATGTGAAGAGCTGGTTTAAAGGGTCACAGCATAGGAAAGTTGAGAACCACTGCTCTAGTGTAATGTATGTAGCAAAAGCTGCCCTATGCCAAATGATGTTTTTGTTGGAGCTATTCTCCAGATGTCTTTTTGGGAGTCATTAGCAGGGAGCACATGATTACTTGAAAGATATTTGATACAAATTAGATGTACTGTCAGTTTCAGACACTCAGCAGATACCTAAAGAATATGAAGAAAAGTAGCCAGGGTGGTATATACACACATACACACACACACACATATATGTATATGTCTATGTATGTATGTGTATGTGTGTATATGTATGTGTATGCATATATATCTGTACCCCTACATATACATTATATATATAATATATATGCATACGTGTGTGTGTGTCTATCTGTACTCCTAATAGGCAGGCAGGCAGGCAGGCAGGCAGAGACTCGGGTAGTTAACATGTTTTCTAAATATTTTCATGAGAAGAGTAGAGTATTTTAAAAACATTAAATAGAGAAAAAGACAAAAGCACAAAATTCAGTATTCATAAAGAACGGGTAGCTTCTGCTCAAAGTGAGTCTCTTATCTACAATTCTTACATAAAAATAAACAATTTGATCAACCACAGAATCGTTTTAAAACACATGCCAGGGCCAACAAGAGAGCTTAGTGGGTAAAGGTTAAGCCTGGTGAAGCTGAGGAAAAGAGAATCAACTCCTGAAAGCTATCCATACTCCCACAGAAACACAGTGGTATATACACATGAGAGTACTACCCTCCTCCCTCCACAGAAACACTGTGGTGTATATGGAAACGAGAGTACTACCCTCCTCCCTCCACACATACACCAAACGTTTAGTAGCAAACAAACAAAAATTTAGAAATATGTTTCAATGAGCAGTAGAGCACTCAGCAAGAGTGAAGCCCTAGGTTTGGTCCCAGGCATGGAAAAAAAAGTAAGTAGGTAGATAGAAAGATAGACAGACAGACAAAAAGAATATTTTGAACACTAGTCCTACTCTATAAGGAGATTTCAACAGAACATTAATTGCAGAAATTCTGGTAAAATGGCCTGAGGCAAAGTCATACTAATGGCCTGGGGACAAGGTGGTCCTTAAAGGGTTTCTGATTTTCAGCACTCAATACACCTCCGGCTGCTCCTCCAGGCTGGGCATTCCACAGACCTTCCTCTTTTGAATGATACAAACAGCAACACTGTCATTGAGAAGTTATAGGGAAGTCACCTGCCTTCTGGGTGAGGAGTCTATTTCTTAAGGAGGGCAGTTACACACCGTGTGTGCTCATCATAGTTCACCAAGGTGAACATTCACGACTGTAAATGCTGTCAGAGGACATGACGGAAGTGACAGCTCTTACCTGCTCATGCCAACTGAGTCCAGTCGGCAGCATTCTGTGCTGTAGAGTGGCTCCTTTCAGCCCCACGGCTACAAGGAACTCCTGTTCCACGGGACACATAAAGACCACATTAATCCATAGAATCCCCAACTGGAGCATTGCTACTTCTAAGTCATCGTAGCTGGCAATCACACCAACAGGAGCATTTAACGGTGTAAGGCACACACCTTCGTATTGGACTCGGATTTATCGGACTCAATCTTCACTGCCACTGAGAGCATATTCAAATTGTCTCCTCCAACACCGTCAGAGGCAGCTCGGCTAAGACCGTCTTCTTCAGAGGAATAAATTGTAGGTTCCAACCAATGTGGGCGGGTTGAACTGGGCAACCGTGTCTCTGTAGCAAGAATGGCTCCATCTACTATGCCTAGATAGATAGATACACATTGAGATAAAAACACCAAATGATCACTTGAAAATAGTTCTTTAATTGCTTTGACTTTCACAACTTAAAACACAACTCTTTGCACAGATCGAGTATATTTTATCCAAAATGTTCAGAATCAGAAGTATTTGGGATTTTGTGAGGAATGTTCACATCTACTAAATGAGATATTAAAAAGGGAATACAGTTCTGAACATGATTCATTTTGTGTTGTGCACTCCTTAGACAGCAGGCTCAAGGTCATTCATGTGATGTTTTTGTGCACCCATGCTTCGACAGTGCCCCACCTCAAGAGGTTAGGCACAGAATGTCTACTTGAGGCAGCACACCATCAAGGAGACATCTCAGATGTCAGGCACTTCTAAAAGGATTTCTAGGATACAGCCTATACTCTTTTGAGCCCTGTTGGGGGCACAGAGGTCCTTGCGCTCACAGATAAGCACCAGGGAATCCAGGAATGTTACACACACACAGGGCTGTCTCTTCAAAAGGACATATGTATGCCTGTTTTCTGCCCAGAAGGCCAAGACTGAGGTTATTAATAGTCCGATTACCTTTGTGCTATCTGTGTGACTGGAGATCACACCAGATACTCCCCAGGCCTTGATGACAACATGTTTACCATAGAATGCATCTTCACGGAAGAGGTGACACGCACTTTGAAAAAGTCCAATAAAATTATGCTTTAATTTTTATTGTGCACACAGGTATGTGTTACACCAGGAAACTATTTTCCAAATTACGCTGTACTCAAATATGTTTAAAACAAGCTGCCGGTATCAGACTCAAGAAGCTTGAGCTAAGACCTGCTGCTGAGTCATGCTGAGCTGGACTTCCTTCTCATTACTCTGCTGGCTGTGGTGTTTGCAGAAACCCCCCAGAGTCAGCCTGTTACTGGCAGCACAGTGGTCAAGAGGCAGCACGGTAGGTAACAGCCTACTTTTCTTTGTCAGCATTGGTATAACTGAGAGCAAAAACTTACAAAAGAGTCAAAAAATAAAAACTCAGATTCTAAAATGCTAATAAAATTTTTCTATCCTTGTGCCTAGTCAGGCAACCGCTCAAAATGTGGTAAATTTTAGTCAGGTGTGGTAGAAGTGCACACCTATAGTCCTTGAACTTGGGAAGCTGAATTGAATCTCAAGTTCAGGATCACTGTTGGCTGTATTGTGAGACCTTGTCTCCAAACAAACAAGAAGTTTTAATCTGTAAGTATGATTCTGGCAACAGAACCAGAACTCCCAACAGAAAACAATTTCTCACATCAAGGTTGTATTCTCAACAAGCTGTCTTTATCATATAGAAATTCAACTGCCAAACAGAAAAGAAGAAAATATATAATTGTCCTACCTTTGTGGTACAGACTGAGGCTGCTGGAATGTAGGCAGATGTAGTGCTTGTCATCGAAACCTTCGTATTTTGTCACACAAAATAATGAGCCACTGTTGAATTCTAACCAGAATTCACCATGCTTATTTTCCATCGGCTCTCCATTATCTTGCTAACAAAAAGACCAGGAAAAAAAAAAAAAAAAACACAAGTTACCTTTTTTTTCTTTCCCAAATTCCAGTACTGGAGATAGAACCTAAAATCCTGCACCCAGTAGGTGGGTTTCTAGTCACTGAGCTGCAGGCTCCAACAACCATTATTATTTTTTTTTTTTTTCGAGACAGGGTTTAGGGTTTCTCTGTGGCTTTGGACCTGTCCTGGAACTAGCTCTGTAGACCAGGCTGGTCTCGAACTCACAGAGATCCGCCTGCCTCTGCCTCCCGAGTGCTGGGATTAAAGGCGCGCGCCACCATCACCCGGCTCCAACAACCATTATTAAATGCAGAAAGGAAGAATGTTCCTTGGCATGCTTCTTCTGAATCTAACTTAGGAAAATCTCCCACACCTCAAAAAGCAGCCTATTTCTTGAACTATTCAATACAGTGAGATTAAACACTGAATAATGTGTGTGGTATATAAACCCTCTGCAACAATGCTTGTTGTACTTTTAAAATAGGGTGCTATTTTAAAATGAGAAATAAAACATTACAGTTACTGCCCTCACTAAAAGAATTAGCACATGCTTTCCAAAGGAAATCCATACAGCCTTAGACCAAAAACTGAAGCTAGCTCCCAATGTAATGTGTTCTCTGGCATCTCAGAACACTGCCCCCCCCCCACTGCCACCGCCACCACCTTACCCCACTTCACTGCAGCAGACTGTGTAAACGTACCTTTACATCTGTGAACACTGCCATTAATCCATGATTGATACTCAGAAGGACTGAGAGGAAACTCTGAGAGTTCTTGTTCTGAGAGTCCAACTTTTTTTTCCTACGGGAACGATAGTTGGGATCAACAGCAGAAAAATACTGCAAAGTCTCTTCTTCAGATCCACTGTCTTCATCTACGCAGGGAAAAGACCTACTATTACAGATTCTGACAGCTAAGCAGGACAGCAGCTTAAAATGATCACAACAGTACTTTGCACTTTTACAGGACAGAACGACAGGGAGATATCTGGATCTCTCAAGTGAATTTCAAACATGTGCACGATCACACAGAAGATTTCACATCTGAGCAACAAAGCTCTTGTCAGAACAGACTCAGAAGTGCAGAGATAGTCATAGAGTTATAGAACACAAACAGAAAACAAAGTCTGAGACACAGTTTAGATCCACAACCGGAAAGGGCTCCTACTCTGTTAATTTATAAATGAGGCACTTTATACCAGAGCAAAGGTAAGGTACATTACCATAGTGAACTGCAGATTTAAAGGGACTGAAGCTGTCTTTGCTGAAGGTGTTTATCAGCTGACTGGCTACCGAGAGCCCAATGCCATAGGAAATATTCTCAAGTGTCTCCACTGGTGAAGGAGCTGTTGGCTCCCAGAGAAGCAAGTCATTGAAGATCCTAGAAACACAAAGTGCAAAATGAACAGGAAACATCTAAGGTGAAGACAGGCAAGAGAACCCCTTACAGGTCCATATGTGCTTACTGGTTCTAAATGGTGAAATGGAAATGATCGTGTGAAGGTGTTCTTAAAACAGAAAATATGTGCTTCCAACGGGAAAGCAAGACCAAGGAAAGGAATTTGAGATTAGACACCTGACGAGACACTCGCCTAGTGTCACCCATGTTCTAGACTCAAAGACCTGATCATACCTTTAAGTGTACTTTACTTTTTTAAAGTTTTATTTATTATGTGTACAGTGTTCGGCCTGCACACCAGAAGAGAATACCAGATCTCATTACAGATGGTTGTGAGCCATCTGTAGTTGCTGGGAATTGAACTCAGGACTTCTGGGAGAGCAGTCAGTGCTTTTAACCTCTGAGCCATCTCTGCAGCCCTTTACTGTACCTTAAAAGAGGAAGCTATTTAATGATAAGAGCTGACAGCCAGGTATAGTGAAACATGCCTTTAATCCTAAGGGGAAGAAGCAGTCTGTGGCTAGCCTGGTCTACACAGCAAGTTCCAGACCAGCCAGAGCTGTATGAGACTGCCAAAAAACAAACAACAACAAAAAAAAACCCACCTCCCAAATGACAGGAAGGCTGCTAAGACACTATAGAGACCCTCTCAAAAGTCCTTCCCACCATTCCCAGGGACAGATGGGAGAATCACTATTCCCACTTTACCCATGAAGAAACCACCATATAAAGCTTAAGTCATCTTCCCAAGGCAACACAGCCAAGCAGAAGAAAAGCTGGTATGACATTCAAGATCAGGCCCAGCTTTCAATTCAATCCATTGTCTAGACTAGTATTATCTGAGATAGCTTTTTCCCAACAGATAGCTCAACTTCCCTGGGAAGAAGGCATGGGATAACGCATGACCACAAAAAGTGAGGAGAGATGCCTACCCCCGAAAGAACACACTAGAAGAATCACAACTAGGCCCCAGCTGTGCTGCCTCTTCAGTAAATACTTACTGCTACAAAGACATGCTTCTGCTCAGCTTCAAGAAAACTGCAATTTCACAGCATTCTCTAGGTTTGCACCACAATCCCCCCTTCCCCTCATCTGCTTCCATCACAACACTGTAAGGCTGGACTCCTCCATGCCACCTCCGAGACTGCCAGCACTACCGGCCTGAGAAGGACTTATGCCCAATTATCTCAGTCTGTGTAGACCAGCGGCTGTCCCACAGCACATAGCTGCAAAGGAAAGGACGAGGTGATGACTCATGGAAGGACTGTAAAGTCCAGTGTGAATACCAGTCAAGGTGCCAAGACAAGAGGCAGCCCTCCCTCCCCCTGGAAGGAAGCCAGCATGCAGCCAGCTGCAGAGCTCTGGAGGAGGGAGGTAGCACTGAGCAGCTTGACTCACAGTGGGAAGTAGTGTAGTAAAAACACCAGAGTCACAGCACTGAAGGATGGCGCCCCTTATACACACTGACAGTTTATGTCCCCAACATTATGGTCTATTACAGGACAAAGAAGCCAAGGCCTTTGACAGAACGTTCTGGAATAAAGAAACACAAGAACTAATGCTAACACAGGATGGTGATCAAGGTTGGGAATAGTGTCAGACGTGCAATCCCAGTGCTTGGGAGGTGTGGCAGCGGAACTGAAAACCCAAGGCCAGCCTGAGCTATATAATGACACCTTGTCTAAATAAAGAAATATCAGAAACTTCTTATTGAAGAGTTCTCTGAATTCAGGATTTTATGACAAAAAGAAAAGTATGGTTATAAAAGAATAAAGAATACATGTTACATGATTTAAAAAAATAAAGAAAAAGAAGAAGCCAAAGCTTCTGAGTCCAGAGCCTGGCCCGAGGCAGTGACTGTGAAGGATGAAGGCAAAGAATCCTCCTCTCAGGACAGGCTCTCCTATGTCACACTTCCTGCATAGCTTAAATAAAACCAGCATGTAACCTGGGAGTTTCTCCTCCATCATGTTCCTACTGCTTTTCTTACTTATATTTGGGTCTAAATAGTCTTTTTTTGGCTGTTTTTATTTTTTTTAATATTTATTTATTTGTTCATTATGTATACAGTATTCTTCCTGCAGGTCTCATTACAGATGGTTGTGAGCCACCATGTGGTTGCTGGGAATTGAACTAAGGACCTTTGGAAGAGCAGGCAATACTCTTAACCACTGAGCCATCTCTTCAGCCCGGCTGTTTTTATTTTGAAACAGACTCTTATTAGGAAGCTTGGCTTTGAAATCATGAGCCTCTGCCTCAGCTTCCCTAGAGCCGGGATTACTGAAGTACGCCACCGCACCCAGTTGAAAAGGAACTTGCTGTTCTTTTAAAAATAAATAAACAAACAGGGCTGGTGAGATGGTTCAGCAGATAAACACACTTGCCACCAACCCTAATCTGAGTTCAATCCCTAGGATCCACGTGGTAGAAGGAAAGCCAACCTCCAGAGTTGTCCTTCTGCCTCACAAGGTCAAGTGACGAAGTCTATGACCCAGAATCCCATTTCACTGTATTTGCTGGGTAGGTGTGTTGAAGTACTTAAAACACAATAAATTAAAATTTTTGTTTACAAAATGTATAAGTAAAACTGGAAAAACCTAAGTAGCTGCCTTCTGAATTCTGAGAAGAGGAGACACTTTCTGAACAGTGACTGAGAACCTAACTGCACCAGTACCTGCCGGCCTGCTGCTCAGATCTGCTAGGGCCCCTCATGCCAGTGCATGTCTGAAAAGGCAGCACTTTTCACACTGTGCAGTATCAGCAATCAAACTAGTACCCAAAATATGTGCATTATGCTGGTTGTCATTGCTGTTAGGGAGTTTGGTTGTTTTTGTTTGGTTAGTTTTTAGGGTTTTTTTGGACAGGATTTCTCTGTGTAGCCCTGGCTGTCCTAGAACTCACTTTGTAGATCAGGCTGGTCTTGAACTCAGAGATCCAACTACCTCTGCCTTCTGAGTGCCGAGATTAAAGGCAGACACCATAACGCCTGGCTGTTCGGGAGTTCTTGATGGTGGTGTTACTGTTGTTTTTACAATAGGCACCAGGCACAAGTTGAGAGTCAGCTAAAATAGCAGGGCAAAATGAAACAGCTCCAAGGACAATGTCACCAGCATGTAACATAATACCAAAGTGAGAAGAAGGCAAAAGTGCTTGGAAGTGGTCACGCAATTCAAACTCACCTGTTATACAGCTTCTCGTAAAAGTTTTTATTGGGCAGTGTCATGTGAACATTTGGTAGCAGAAGTTCCAGCACATAGTGGGAATTGCTGATGGCTTTATCCTGAAACTCTGTCATCTCTGCAGGGTCTCCTGGCATCACCATCTAAAACAGAGTAGTTTAGTATGAGAAAAAGCATCAAAGAAGCAATCTACGTTTAAAATAGTAGCAGCATTTTTTAAACTACTATAACATTTACCATAAACATAACCTTTATCTAGGGAGAATATACATCAAGAAAAATAGAAATCAATCTAGGATCAAACTAGCACAAAACACACGGATTATCTTTATTGTCGTTACTGCTCTTGTTGCTGTTATTTCCTGCTGATGATGTACAACAAACAGGGTCTTGCGATGTCCCCAATCTGGCTTCAAACTTGCTATCCTCCTGCATCCACCTCCCAAGTGCTAGGATTACAGCATTCTTTCATAAAGACCTGGCCACGTAGAGTGGCACAGGCCTGTGATCCCACAGAGGCAAGAGGATCACAAGTTCAAAACTAACCTAAGACACAAAGAGAAAAGGAGGGAAAAGAGGAGGAGAGGGGAAGTGTCTATTGGAGGCGGGGTAATTACCCTGGAGTGTTCATCACACTTTTACCTGCTCATTCTCAAACATTACTCTACGAGAGGAAAAGGGAGACGGAGCTGGTCGCCTCAGGTCACAGACATCTTTCAGCGAATGAGCCCCTCCTTCTTCCTCTTCCTGGTAGTGACCATCACTCTCTTCCTCCTCTTCAGCTGCTATTCTCTCCAAAATGGAATGCATGGCTGGTGGATTTATTTTCAGTACCATTCTGATCACAAAGATGATTTGAAAAATCAAGATGTAAGTATAAACAGCAACATTATTACTTTTATGCAAATTTACAGAATGAACACTGATTAAATGTTAATACTACCAGACTAACTTATAAAGCCTATGCCTGCTGTAACCCACTTATGAACAGGCAGTATATATACATAACTCAGCATAGAACTCAAATAACTAAATAAATGAAGGACATTAGCAGTGTATTCTTGGCTAACTGAAAGTCTGACTTTTGGAAAATTCCATTACACCCTTGCATTTGCTTACCTTGGCCAGTCAAAGTCATCTGATGATGCTGTGTCTCCATCAACTCCACCAGATACATGGAAAAACTTGATAGATGGCTCCCCCTTCTCCTCCTGAAATGACCCTATGGAACCAAAATGGTGTGACTGCAATGTGCTCCTTCCCAAATGTTGCAGATAAGATCATTCAGAGCTCTCCAAACCAGGGTATTATCCACACACCCTCACACTATACATCACTCATTCATTTCTTTCTGCTGTAATGTGGCCTGTGCTAGGCAGAATGTGCAGATAAAGATACCAGTTTTTATTCAAACTAAAATTCTTGACTAGTATTTAGTGTGTAAGATATGTAATTATAATATAGCAAATGTCAGTCACTACCTACTGAGTACTGATTTCCTTGTGTGCATTTGAGAGTATCAGGTAACTTCTTATCACTCACCATCTTATTCCTTTGAGGGAGAAGCTCACACTATTTTTTTTTTTTTAGCTAAGCTGGCAGCCAGTAAGCCCCAGGGACCACTTTCTATCCCCAAGCACTGAGGCTTCAGGCACATATGAGGGTGACCTTGCTCATCTTGTTACATGAGTGTTGGGATCTGAACTTGTGTCTTCATGGTTTTTACAACAAGTCCTCTTAACCACTGAGCATCTCTCCAGACCCAATTATTTCTTCACAGAAGAAAAGTTTGTGGCTTGGAGCTATATCTCAGAGGCAGAGCAATTGCCCAGCATTCAGGGCCCTGAATTCAGTCTGCAGCGTGGGTAGAAAAGAACAAAGAAAAGCTTATCAGCTAATTATCCACGGTAAACATAAGGACACAAGTATACTCTGGTGTGTGCTCTGTACATGCAAAGTAACTCCACCACACTGGCTTCTTATAGTTTTCCTCTAAATCAGAGAGCTTCAAGTACACAAAGATAAGGAATGGCAGAGTGTACCTAAACATCCTCTCATGAAGCAGTCACTGGCAAGTGCTATTTAAGTATCTCCAAAAACTTGTCCAACTCCGAGATCAGAGCAGACAAGGGAAACTTTTGAAGTCTGAGGTGTGAGTCCCCTCACTAGTGTCAGAGGGCAGAGGCAGGGGCTGAGTTTCCACACACCCTGTTCATTAACCCACACAGACACAGAATATACCAGATCTTAAGTGTCACAGGAGTGAGTTAGTGTGGTGACTGAGAACACAGGCTCTGGTGTCAGATTGGTCTTTACTACCCCTGAGCTGGGAGACACATCCTCTTCAGCCCACGGGTCAGTAAATCTAACACATGGTGGGAACAACTAAAGGAAACGACAGAATGTACGTGACCCACTCAGTACAGGACCCAGCAGAGAGTAGCGTGCAGGCTATCCAGCCTCTATCAGCACACAGTAAGTGAAAAGCAATGATATAAAAGGCTAACACTGCATTCCTTCAGAAAATAAGAACTTCATCAGAGCAAATCAATCATTGTGCTGCATCTTTTTTGGTTGTTTGTTTCTTTTTGAGACAGGGTTTCTCTGAGTAGCCCTGGCTGTCCTGGAACTCACTTTGTAGACCAGGCTGATCCAAACTCACTTAGATTCACCCGCCTCTACCTCCTGAGTACTGGGACTAAAGGCGTGAGTTACCACCATGCCTGCCTCACAGCGTCTCTTTTTTAACTATACTGTATCTCTATCTCCACACAGTTCTAGGGGAAAGCTGCTGCTCTATTTTCTAAGTGTTCCCAAGTTTGCCATCTTGGGTGCTGTCAGGAGTAGAGTTCCGCACAGAGTCTGCTCTCCGCTAGTGCGTTCAGTCTTACCAGTTAGCTCTCTAAAAGTCAGTTCCAGTTTAGTTTGTTCTGGGGTGGATCCTCCCACAAACTCCGTCTGAGACTCCAGATCTGTGAATGCTAAATGGAGGGTCTCCTTCTGAAGTGACTTCTTAAACCAGGGTCCTCTCTCCTGGTCTGACCGAAGGTCAGGAATGGGAAAACGAACAGAAAGATGCAGCGCTGGGGTGGCAACTTGTACAGACACCCGACGATTCGCAGGACTGTGAGAGTCATCTAGAAACACTTCAGTGAAAGCTTTATGCTGAAAGACATAAATCACAGCAGTGCTTAGCATTTCCGCAAATACTATATTGCTCCCCCACATGCCACAATGCATCCAGACACAAGTGAAAAACCACTACTGTATAATGAAGCTTCAAATGAAACAGCTATTGCCCAAATCAAAACTGCTGAGGCAATAGCTGAATCTTCATACAAAAATAAGTAAAAAGAAAGACACTATAGGGGGCTGGAGAGATGGCTCAGTGGTTAAGAGCATTGCCTGCTCTTCCAAAGGTTCTGAGTTCAATTCCCAGCAACCACATGGTGGCTCACAACCATCTGTAATGAGGTCTGGTGCTTCTTCTGGCCTGCAGGCATACATGCAGACAGAATATTGTATACATAATAAATTAATTAATTAATTAATTAAAAAAAAACAAAAAAACTTAAAAAAAAGACACTATAGATCCCTACACATCTTACCATAAACTAAAGAGAAAAGGTGTGAACCAGCCTACTACCAAATCCAATAAAACTAAAAATCAACACCATGTTCAACACTCAGTTTGAAGAATCTGCCCATTTTAGGCTGCCCTAAGGGCCCAATATGAACTCACACGACTGCTGCCATATACAAAGGCCAGTCTTACTCCTCTTTGCTTCCAGGCCTATGATCAGAGCAGGGCACACAAAGGTTCCAAGTGTTCACCAAATGATTCCTGAGTCCCCCACATACACCAGTTAAAATCATGCCATTCAAATAGAAGTCAATTTTTAATTTTCAATAAAATATCCTGAAACTAATAAAGGCTTCAACATTCATCTTCCGAGTCAGCGTCGAGCCTTTCCTATGGCAGCCTGGGATTTTTACAAGCAAGGCAAACATATAAGGCTTTATTGTGACATCTTCCTGCACATGTCAGTACATTTTGTTCCCATTCATTCTTCTGCCAAGCCCCTCCCCACTTCTAGCAGGTTCCCTTTCTTCTCTAAAGTTAGAAACCAGCATTTTCACAGATCTATTCTATCTCATCCCTATTGGACTTCTTGACACAAACTCTAATCTCATACTAAAGAAAACTAGGGATGGGACTGAAGAGATGGTTAAGAGCACTGACTGCTCTTCCAGAGGAGCTGGGTTCAATTCCCAGCACCCACATGGCAGCTCACAGCTGTCTGTAACTACCATTCCAGGAGATCTGACACCCTCACACAGACAGGCATACATGCAGGCAAAATATCAAGGCACATAAAATAAAAACAAATTTTTAAGAAAATAAAACCAAGGATGATAAGGACATCCCAACACAACCAAGGTTAACAGCAAATAGAGACTGGCCTATACACTTAAGAATGCTGCTTTAGTCTAAACACCAGGAACGATGGGGAAAACAGGCAGGAAATAAAATGTCTCTGCGCCTTTCCTTCTTGTCTTTTTAGATTGAATCCCATGTTTCCTAAGTGTGTTCCAAATGACAGCCTCCTGTTTGAGCCCCAGAGCAGATCTGATCATGGGCACTCACTGCTGTGTTGATTCTTTTCCCCTAAAGCTGCCTCTCAGGCTGGGCCTGGTCCTACAGGCCACACATTCAAACTCCCAATGTGCTAATACAAGTCCATGCCACATAGCAGAGCTGAGCAAAGTAATACAATGCGATGCCAATCACTCTTCATTCTCAAAAGCAGACCTGTGCTACCTGGCTTTACTTTTTACACCATTCGAGTTTATGGAATGTATGAAAAGACTTCATGAATATGTTACAATATTCTCCAAGTCCAATCCCATTGTGCTACAATCAAATACTGTCAACTGATGGGCCTAGTCATTCTTCTGCATATCGTCTTTTTCTGCATGTACAGTTTAACGTTAGTCTAAGGAAAGTGAGACAGAGTGGAGCATACCCGAAGTTTCCTGCTGGGAAGGCTGAGACAGGAAGAACACAAGTTCCTGGCTGACCAACCTGAGCTAACAATGAGATGCTATCTCAGAAGGTTAAAAAAAAAAAGTTTGCATGGAAAAACATTCTATTTCTCACTTAACCCTTCCTGCAGAGCCTTCTTCATGCAGCTGATACCACACAGCATACCCTGTTAGAAATAAAACAGGAAATGTCTTCCAGTAAAATTACCAAACCTTACCTGGTTCTCATCAAGGCAAAGAAGTAGCATTGTTGAGCTAGGTGGTGTACACTATGACCCCAGCTCTAGGGAGGTAGAGGCAGAAGGATCAAGAGTTCAAAGTCTTCCCTTGGCTACATATCAAGTTTTAGGTCAGAAGTGCACAAGAAATTTAAGAGTAATTTTTAAGCCCAGCATGGTGGTGCACACCTTTAATCCTAGCACTCAAAAGGCAGAGGCAGGCAGATCTCTGAATTCGAGGCTAGACTGATCTACACAGTGAGTTACAGGATAGCCAGGGCTATGTAGAGATGCTGTCTCAAAAAGTAAAAATAATTTTTAAATGTCTACTTTTTACTATTATAAGTAATATTGCTCTGACATAGTCTATTTAATCTGTTAGGACTTTTCTCAGAAATCCCAATAAGCACATGCTTTTGTGCAACGTCTACATACTTACCAAACTAACATGCTTATTATATGATGCATACATGTGCGAGGCCATCATCTCTACTGTGGTGAGTTTTTGTGGTTGAAGCAAGGAATTTAACCTATCCACAATACTGATATCCAGCTCACAACACACTGGATTTAATTTAATTTGTAATTCCGCCTTCTGAGGAACTGAACTCAGTCTTGCTTGATTACCCTTTAAAAAAAAAAAAACCACACACAATTATTAACAAAACTATAAAACTTAACAATTGTGACAAAAAAAATCCCATAACAATCTGCAGTGGTAGCCACAGGGAGGACTCACCTGGGGTCCTCTAGTCTCAGAGTGCTTATAGTAAAGCTGAAGACACACGGGGAGGTGGGCATCAGTCCCTTCTTTGGAATGGAACGTTAGGAGCTTAAAGACAAGGATGGAGATGAGTTAAAGCTAGGGCATTAAACTGCAATCGATCATGGAAATCTACAGAGGCAGTACTGAGGTGAGAGGAGCTCTCTGAAGTCAGAAAAGCTGGCCCCAAACTTCATTTCTGCCTCTTTCTAGCAATGTAAATCTCACTCAAGCAGCAAACTTCTGTGAGCCTCAGCTCCTCATCTGAAGCAAGGGTTCAAACTGATCAATAGCTAAGAAAAAACTTTAAAACAAAATAAAATGGCAGGCTCATAACCTGTCTGCCTCCTCAGATAACTCTCATTTCATTTCAAATAATTACTAGCTTCATTGAATAACCTTGAACGACATACTTTAAAATTTGTCTCAACAATCACAACAATAAAACACTAGCACTCTTTGTGGTGCTGGTATGCTCTAAAGAAAACTGTTATTATTCATTCGATTCTTAAAAAAGCAAAACAAATTTAAAAATCATCCAAGGGAGTATCCAACATTTACCTCTGTGTAGTGGGGAGGGACAGAATGAAAATCTGTTGGGAATAGACACTCCAAAAACTCCATTTGCTCAATCGACATGTCGGTGCTAAAATGGCGGGAAGCTGACCTTTGCCTCTGCTCATAGGACACTTTGACGCCAGTGCCTATAAATCTACCATAAAAAAGAAAGAAGCATTTAAAAGTCTCCACAAGCTTCTAGATTAAACAATATACATAAGCCTAGAGAGCAACATGAGAATGTTAGTATAATAATTACATGCTTACTCTACCAAGTTCAAGCTGCTAGTAATCATTAATATCCCTAAGGACATGCGCTTCACATTTCCTATTCCTTAGCATCTCTACTGTGGGGAATTTCCCAGGATGCCTGTATTGCCCAACACTGCTCTTCCTTCTTCGACACTCCAAACTTATCCTGCAGTGGATAAAATCTCAGACCTGGACAGGCATCATGGCACACACACGCCTTTAACGCCAGCACTTGGGAGGCAGAGGCAGATGGATGTCTAGAGTCTACACATAATCAGTTCCAAGCCAGCCAGGGTTAGGCAGCAAAACCGTGCCTTAAAACAAAACAACTTAAAAAAAATTGCAGATCTGTAAAATGTATGAAATGGATACTTAAAACTATTTAAAAACATCATTCAAGCTGGGCATAGTGGCAAACACCCGAAATCCCAGTACTCTGGAAGATGAGACAGGAAGACCATGAGTTTGAGACTGGTATTTTTTACAGTTGAGACTGTCCCAAAAACGAAGGACCAACAATGACGCAGAACTTTAAAACTTCAGTTGATGGGGTTCACGGTTTTTGTGTCATATTTTCTACTTGCAGATATCTGGAGATTTGACAAAACTGAGGGAAAAAGGTTCTTACAATGTAATTTGAAGTACTATGGTCCTAACATGTAACGCATCTTTTGATGGTGGTCAAAAACTACTTCACATGTTAATTTTAACACTCCAGAAAATTTACATTAAAATTACCTTGAGCAAGGGGTAAGGGTTTAGGTCAATTGGTAGAGCACTAGCCTTGCATGCATGAAGCCCTGGGTCCAACCCCCAGCACTGCCTAAAACCAAGCATGGCAGCTTACACCCATCATCTCATAAGGTAGAGGCACAAGGACAGAGAGGAATTCAGGGTTATCTGAGGCTGCCTGAAAGTTTGAGGCCAGACTGGACTATATATCATGAGATCCTGTCTCCAAAAACAAGCATTCTCTAAAATACAAATTTTCTTTGCCTCATTATACAAAATATCACTCACTTTACAGATCACCATTTATATTAAAATAATTTTTTTTTTTTTTGGTTTTTCGAGACAGGGTTTCTCTGTAGCTTTGGTGCTGGTCCCAGAACTAGCTCTTGTAGACCAGGCTGGCCTCGAACTCCCAGAGATCCGCCTGCCTCTGCCTCCCAAGTGCTGGGATTAAAGGCGTGCGCCACCACCGCCCGGCTAAAATAAAACAGTATTTGCATGCTAACCCTATAGTATCCAATTTAGTCAGCCCATCTATTAGTCCTCAACTCATGAGGGCTCACAGTTTTAAGAATCAGCAGAGTCTGGCGGTGGTGGTGCGCACCTTTAATCCCAGCACTCTGGAAGCTGAGGCGGGTGAATGTCAATGAGATGAGGCCAGCCTATTCAACAGAGTGAGTTCCAGGATAGCCAGGACTGTTTCACAGAAACCTATCTTGAAAAGCAAAAAAAAAAAAAATCATTTGAACACTCAGCCCAGGCTTGGTATTGCTACCCACCTCTCATGGCCTAGCACCAGCCTTTCCCAAGCTCTCCTCATCAGTACCACTCTCAGCACAGCACCATCTCTGCCACTGCCAGTGCCCCAAGAACCATTTCCATCATTTCAATAGTGATAGCAGGGATGGTGGCAAATGTGCTAAGACAAACTAGCAAGAACGGGGGGAGCTAGGCATTTGTGGCGCACACCTTTAATCCTAACACTTGGGAGACAGAGGCAGTCAGAGGTGGACCTCCGTGAGTTCAAGGTCAGTCTGGTCTACAAGCTAGTTACACCACAGAGAAACCCCACCTCAAAAAAAAAAACAAAAAAAAAAAACAAAACACACAAACACACACCAAAAAAAAAACAGGGAGGAAGCTACAACCTATCTAGATCTACATCTGCATCATTCTCACACTATACAATGTGAAGGAGAGACCCTATGGTATCTTTGTAGTAGTGCAGTAAATTTCACTCGTTATCCACTGAAAACCAAAACAGGGAGTAGACAGATGACACAGTGTGCATGTGGTTCTTTCTGAAGTAATCAGAGAGTTCACCTAAGGTGATCGTGGGAACAAGCTTCTGCAAAGACTGCTCGGAAGGACTTAAAATCTTCTGCTGACAATCTTGTTGGGTCCATCTTTTCTATACGAGAGAAGAACGCGACGGCCAAGGGTGTCAATGGATTAACGTTTGGGGATGTTTCCGCTGGAGACAGAGGATCGATGTGAAGCACGGAGACTGAGAAGATGCCGACTGCCAGTCTGCAGATGAACTCAGGCCTCGATTCATCCACTGAAACAGACCTAGAGGGCAGGGCTGAAATACATCCAGTTCTCTGAGTCAGGATTCAGAACATCTTAGACTGCTACCCTGTTCATCTGATATGCAGGACTCTTGCACCTAAAGCACCAAGAGTCCATCTCAGTAAGCAGAAATGTGTGGACACATCTTTTAGACTATAAAACTGTGTTAGAAAAAAATTAAAATCAACCAAAAGCTCCACATCAAACTCTCTAAGTTTGGGAATTGTCCAGTTAAATTCTGAAGAGCAAGGATCGAGTACAGAACAGTCACAGAGCAATTGACTGGCATGCTCACGGTACTAAGAACAGTCACAGAGCAATTGCCTGGCATGCTCACAGTACTAAGAACAGTCACAGAGCAATTGACTGGCATGCTCATGGTACTAAGAACAGTCACAGAGCAATTGACTGGCATGCTCACAGTACTAAGAACAGTCACAGAGCAATTGACTGGCATGCTCATGGTACTAAGAACAGTCACAGAGCAATTGCCTGGCATGCTCATGGTACTAAGAACAGTCACAGAGCAATTGCCTGGCATGCTCATGGTACTGAACTCAACCCCAGTACTGGGGAGGGAAGGGCAGGACCAAAACAGATTTTTTTTTTTTTTAACAAACAATACAAAAACACTTAGAAAAAGACTCAAGAAGCTAGGGTATAATTTAATGATGGAGCACTGGCTGAGAACTGTCAAGGCCTCGGTTCTATGCCCAATGCTACACATGAATATACATACACAGGCCCACACACATACACACAGCACATATACACACATGAGCACACCTACACATATACACACAAAACACAACATAATCATATATACAAACATACATGTGCATACACTTACACACAAACACATATGTATGCACACATACACAAATACATATACCATATACACACAGGCACATGTAAACACACACATCACATATAAACACACAGGCTTACCTACACACCATACACATGCGCACTCACGCAGACACACACACACACACAAATCAGATAATTAACTGTAAGTTTTAAATTACAATGATATGAAACATAGAATTTTTCTATAATATCTATATATTTAAATATACAAAGACTATAATGAGTACCAAGCATAGTGGTATACACCTAGCAACCTAGCTAGCACCCAGGCGGTGAAGGTGAAAAGGTCAAGTGAGATCACGATCACAGTTAGTCAGTTTGTACTACATAAGACCTTGTGTCAAAAACAAAATCAAACAAACAAAAAATAGAATATAACAAATAAGTAACTATTCTAAAATATTTTCCAATGAACTACTCAATTATTCTTTTCTTTCTAAACTTTGTGATTGTCCAAGACTAAAAGAGAAATTACAAAAGACACACACACACACAAAAATATGGCAGTACAGAGTGTAAGCTTGCAATGTACAAGGCCCTAGGTACAGTCCCCAGGAGCACAGAAAAGAGTAGGTGGATGATTAATAAATAGCTATGCATAGGTAGACAGACAGAGATACACAAATGATAGAGAAAAAAAAATGAATCAGATGTTTATTCTGAAAGGAGGGAAGGGGAAAAAGCAAAACACATTATCTTATAGATATGCTTTTCCTTTTAATTTTCAAGGCCTCTGGTGGAAACTAACCAGCTTTTGGTAAAGGCGCCGGGTGGACCAAGTCAGATGAGAATGCTGGCCCTCTTACAGGCTGCTCTTTGTGGTCCGCAAATTCTCCCCAAGTTGGCTGCAGCTGCAAAAGATTGGTTTAAATACATAAATAAAATGTAGGCTCTTAGAGGTGTCTTCTGAAGAACAGAGAACATGGAGTAATACTTTACCACAGTAGCACTTAGTGGCGATCCTGCAGGCGTGTTTGTGTATGTACTAGTCAGGGATAACTCCAAGTCCATGTGTGGAGGGTCTCCAAGGGGTGGAAGAGAAGACAGACTGTGAGACATGTCCATGTCGGCCATGGAGAAGAAAACTTCTTCTTCTAGAGAGAATTAGGCTTTATCACATGATATATTCCACCAATGTACTCCAAGTAGTTTAGCCACACTAACAGACACAGCTGTGTGTGGTGCGCTGAGCACGGTCGTCAGCAGCACAGTAAACACACAACTGCACAGTCAGCAAAGGTCAAGTCTCCCCGAGTCTTTTGTGGGTTTATATGACATGCAGCAATACAGCAAATTTTTAGTTGTCATATGGCAAGTTACAAGCTAAAATTCAGATTTTTAAATAGCACAAGCTCACACAGGGCCCTAAGTTTCATCTCCAGCACCAAGCTGCAAAAGATAAAATTGTGTAACTATTTGCAATCTCTGGTTTCTTACGAATACAGCTATTTCCCAGATGGGAAGGACCAGAGACATTTAGAATTCTATTGACAAATCAATGTCTTCTCTCTAATGATTGTCTGACCTCAGATAAATCAAGTTTGTTATGTCTCAAAGTTCTTAAGTAGGCTTTAATTTTTTTTACTTGGTTCACATTTCACCAGACTCTTACTATTTACACTAGTGCTCATACGGTCCAAAAATCCCTATAATGAATAGTGGGTAATTATTACACCAACAAGATGGAAAGGTTATCAACGCTTCCTACTTAGGGCTGTACACTGCACACAATTATATAATGAGTTATTCCCAACCTACTTATGTGTCGCTGTACATTTTTACAAACTGACTTTCCTTACGGAAAAACACCATTGCTTAGGCCAACTATACACTTGAGAAACGGTAGTGCTGATGCATCACTGTATTGCTGGTGAGCCAACAGAACAGAACCAAATGCCCCCATGTAGGGTTTCTGTTCCCCACTGCTAAATGTTTGTTCCACCAATGAAATAACATAGGTCTAGTGTTGACTGCGGAAGCTGCTTACCACGGCTAGAAGGTGTACGAGCTGTCTCTGTTTCATAGAAGCTTTTCTCTGAAGATACACCCATAGACAGAGAATCTTTCCTCAGATAATACCGGTTTAATTCCATCTGAATTCGATATTCATCTTCCTGCTGCATGGGTCGATTTTTCCTATCTTTATTTGCTAACCCAATTTTGCTAGAATTTTCTACAAGTATATAAAAAGAAACAAAAATTCAATTTGTAGTTAGTTATTTAAGCACTTCTTTCCAAAACCCCACTTATCCAATAGCAACCTGATCACACTAGCAGAAAGCCAGTTACATCAAGCAGGGGCCTAAGAAACATAAGCAAGTAGCCAACAATCTAAACTCTTAACTCTAGAAGATATAAGTACTTAAAATAATGTGTGTGAGTTATTGTATACAAAAATTACATTTTTACTGTATGGGTTCTTTTGTTTGTTTGGTTTAGTTTTTTGAGGCAGAGTTTTTCTGTATAGCCCTGACTTACAACTCTCTCTGTAGACCAGGCTGGCTTTGAATCACAGAGATCTGCTTGCTTCTGAAGCATGAGCCACCAACTGCCTAGCTCAGAACAATTTTTCAAATGAATGTGATCAAATAACCTGAATGCAAATGTACAGCATGATAACAATAAAGTAATTAGCATATCTACTTAAAATGTACCTTAAATGCCATATACTCCAAAATAATATATTTTCATCAGTCTATGTTTTATATTTTCACCTAGCAGTTTCAAGAATTAGAGGAAATAATTAGAACAGTCATACTTGCCTGGTCCAGCAATAGCTGCTAGCATATCCAAAAGCAGATGTACCTGCCTTGGTGACAGGAATAGATGAATGGAATCTATCTGTCCATCAACATCCAACTTAAAGACATAAGAACAGTTGAGAGTAAGTACTTTACAAACTCATCACCAGGAATTAGGTAGATGTTAGGGTACTAAGATAAGTATCACCCTTGGTGTTGGGCAGCTTCACCTAATTCACACAATTTCAGCTAAAGGGCATACAGACCAGCAACCGTGGCTGCAAGAGGGAAAGCCCTGAGAAATTCCATGTCAGCAAGTCCAGCATCATGCTGTCTCTAAGTCTTCTGGAGACTGTAAACACAGCAACAAGATGGTATTCATCACCCTTCAGAACAACCAAATCCTTAGAACCAATGGAGTCAGCGCCTGTGAGACTGGGTCGGCCACACTGGGACTCTACAGCATGCTTCTCAGGAGCCTACTGTGAGCGCTGCAGGGACACTACTTTCTCCTGCACAGGAACTAGAAGCCACAATCGAAACCCAGACAGAAATCAGCACTAATGAATGCTTTCTTTCTTGTTCTCTGTGCACACTTTCCCCTCATGTCTCACTTGGTGTGGTGAGCACCAAGCCATCACCCAGTCCCTATTCTCTACTTATTACTGTTTCTGTTTTACAGACAAGGACACAGACCCACAAAGCAAAGTTAACATAGCTCTGCAGCCAGATCTGAACCTAGGCAGACACAAATGCAAAGCCTTACTCCTTCTATGACATGGCTCTCCTGTTGTGCCTACAGACAGTGTTTTATGGGGTTCCTTACAGACTGGTGATACCCAGGCCATATCCAGAGTGGGGAAATGTGTTTCTGTTACTGGACAAGTTTATTTCTTGTACTGAAACCACAATCTCTGGTTTTGATTGGGATGGAAAATCAGGAGTTTCATTTCTAATTGTCATAAGGATGTTTCATTATGGGTATATTCTGAATTTGGAATACAAAAAACAAATTACTCACTGGTATCTTTTAAAAATATAAAACACTGAAAATAACAACAAAGCCAAAGCAGTCCCCTGCTACTGTATAATACTTTCCCCAAAAATCCACTAAAATTGAATGCGTGATATACAACAGCCTCCAGAGGCACTATCTCAGAACTCATAGCTGAAAGACTCAGGTTTAAGGAATGCTGGGAAAGACTAAAGCTCTAACCTCATGCTGCCCTATTACATCTACTCTAAGCTCTGTGCTGCCCACTATTGATCTCTAGAACTTAATTTTTCCATATAATATTCATTTACATTAAACAAAATATACACGTTAGTATACAAAAACATTAATGTACAGGCAAGGATGATAGTATCTCCAAATATTCAATACTGGCTGGAACTGGACTATAATATCACCATACAATACTACCACCTGCTACTCTGTCCCCTAGTATGTAGAACTCAAAAATCAACATACAGAATAGTTACACATATCAAAATACAGTGTGCAAAACTTTACATCTGCATGGAAATCAGAGCTTATGGATGTAGACCATATCCAGGCAAACAGAACCATGAAAGCTTTGCTCATGGGTCTTACTTCTTTAAGAAATGTGCTCCCCAAAGACATACAAGCGCTGGTTTCCCAAGGCTGTTGCCACAGCAGGGCAGTCCCTGCAGTATTTACAGCTACCTACACTATCTGCTCCATTAGCAACCTCCTCAGAAGCCAGCAGAGGGAAGACCTGGTCAAGGACTTCTTAACCTGAGAGCAGTTCACAAAAAGGAAAGCAGGAAATCTGGGCCAGAACACTGAGAGTGAAGATAGTAGATACTTAGTCACAGGACAACCCACAGCAACTAATCACTATGCCCCTGTGTAGATTAAATACCTGTAGTTTTGCAGAGACAACACAACAATACTGACCTTGGCTCCTGGAAGCACTTCATTCTGTTTCAAAGTGAGACTCAATTCCAGTCTGCCCACTAGACCTCCAATCTGCACTGGATCCGAGGGTGCTATCTCTGGTAAAGTTCTAGTTAATTGTGGGTGTGGCTCATAAACAATTTTGGGGTTCCAGCTAGGTGACAGCTTTGGCTCAGTTTCCTACAATAATGTAATAAAAATAAAGTAACTATTTTAGCACAAATGAGTCCGGGTGTATATAAATGTCACCTTGGATCTGACATGAGAACTGCATCATCACACTGGACATACCATTATCTACGGCTAAAATGGAGCATTACTGTGTTAGTACAGCACTTGGAAATAAAAACAAGTCATTGAAAAAGACTTTATGAGGGCTGGAGAGATGGCTCAGAGGTTAAGAACACTGACTGTTCTTCCAGAGGTCCTGAGTTCAATTCCCAGCAACCACATGGTGGCTCACAACCATCTGTAATGAGATCTGGTGCCCTCTTCTGGCCTGTGGCAGACATGGAAACTAACACTGTCTACTAAATAAATATTTTTTTAAAAAAAAAAAAAAAAGACTTTATGAGACTAGTGCAGAGCCAGCAAGATGATCCAGTGGGTAAAGGCATTTGCCCCAAACCTGGAGACCAAAGTCCAATCCCACAATGTAAATAAAAATGGAAGAATTGACTCTACAAAGTTGTCCTCCGATCCCCACACATATGCCCCCAAATGCAGTACACACAAGTTTGTATGTGTATCTATGCTCATGTACATCGTACATACAAAGTATCTGTTCAAATAATATACAATGTGTAAACCAAATCAATATCGAAGTAAGGTCTATAATCCCAGCATTCAGAAGGTTGAGACAAGAGATTACTAGTTTGAGGTCAACCTGAGCCACACATTGACAAAGTGAGAGACTCTGCCTCAAAAAAAATAAATAATTTTTTTAAAAAAGAAAAAGATCTGACTTGAATATAAAGGCAAATTATAGATGTACCAACTTATAAAAAGATTCTGTGCTTGGAATTAAGGGCTCTTAATAATAGAAAACACTAAGTCAGAGTCCATGATAATGTTCACTAACAGAGCCTTTAAGCCATGGAAGGTAGCACAGCTTTTTCATGTGAAAGGACAAGGCACTGCATGAGCCATGTTTCCAGTTGCTGTGACAAAATACCTGGCAAGAAGCAACTTAAGGAAGAGGGGTTTCTTCTAGCTCCTAGGTGCAGGCACACATTCCACCAGGGTGTGAAAAGCAAGGTGGTCAAAGGCCAGCTGCTCCCATGGCACCCACAGTTAGAAAGCAAGCTACAGCCAGGTGGTGGTGGTGGCGCACACCTTTAATCCCAGCACTCGGGAAGCAGAGGCAGGCAGATCTCTGAGTTTGAGGGCAGCCTGGTCTACAAAAGTTAGTGCCCAGGACAGGCTCCAAGGCTACACAGAGAAACCCTGTCTTGAAAAACCATAGAGAGACAGACCCACATTTAGGGAAGGCCTGCCCACCTAATCTAGAGGATCCTCACAGGCATGCCCAGAGGCTTGACCACTAGGAATGGCTCCCTCAGATGTTAGCACCTCATTTTACCCACAGATATGTAGGAAACATTTCTCCATTAACTAATGAGCAGCATTCTTGGAGGGAGGAGCTGCCAGCCAGGGCTGACTCCATGGCCCTTCCATTGCACATTGTAGGCCAACTTGATTCCAATGGCAGGCAGCAGCAAGTCTAGCAGGATGGGCAGAGATTCAGGGGTTCAGAGCTGGTATCAGCTACATTAGCTAAATATCTGAATTAACAAGATTTGCTAAACCAGAGGGAGACTCACTAATGAATGTGTATTTGGGAAAACTTAACAGTCCCCTGGTTCTTTACTCTTAGAGACTCACTAGTAGACCAGGCTGCTCTCCTATCTTAACCTCTCAAGTGCTGTACTCCCATACCTGTATGAAACTTCTAAAAAATTGTGACCATGTTTTTGATTGTTTTGTTGAATTGGTTTTTGGTTTGATTATTTTGAGACAATCTCACGCGTCTACACACACCCAGTTGGCCTTGAACTCACTATCTGAGGATGCACTTGGGACTTCAGGCTTGCTTGGCCAGCCCTCCACCAACTGAGCAACACCTCCACCACTATCTGGGGGATTGTTTCATTTTTCTTACCACTGGTGCAGTTGAACACATGGGGGAAGATTTTGCTGAAGCAGAAAATTCATCCCAGAAGAGAGACACTCCAGAGAGCTGCAGCAGTTTGTGAGCAAACGCTGTGGGCTGATGCACATTGACTCCTGAGGACTCATCGGCAGTCTCATCACAGTACACGGTTCTGAAAGGTACAAAAGGACATTTGTAAGGAATTCCTGGGACACGTACTTTCAATGAGATGAGTTCAAAGCCAGTTTGATCTACAGAGCTAGTCAAACGTCTGGTGTAGTGTCCTGAGTCCTGTGCGGGCACACTTAGCTACACACTGTTCTTCTGTAGTTCTTTTCAAGTGTTCATTGAATTGTAAAGGAGCAAGAAATTCCTGGTTCTCGTGAAAAAGGGTTTAAATCAAAAAATCCCCTGGATCCAGTGGTTCAGAATTATCAGATATCTTGATTTCAGTTCTTTTTGCTGAGATTAAGTCATGAAGTTTGTAGCTAAAGAGCAGGAAAGAATGGGTGCTGTTAGGTCCTTCAGCTCGGGTTATGCCTATTTCATTGTTTGGAGAGGCTTGCTTATCAGGGAGATGCTAATGAATAAATGGATTGCATCATGGCAAAAAAAAAAAAAAGACAGTGCTTTTAAGTTAAAGTGAAATGTCAGTGCTAGCACCTCTACAACTATGCCTATGAGAATGCTTGCAGCCCAGCACAGAGAAGGTAGAGGGAGGAGAACCAGGATCAAGGGCAGTCTGAGCTACAGGAGATTCTGTCTCAAAAGAATTTTGCTTGGTTGGTTGGTTTTGTTTTTCAAGACAGCATTTTTCGGTGTAACCCTGGCAATCATGGGACTTCTATGTATACCAGGATGGTCTTGAACTCAAAGAGATCCATCTGCCTGACTGTCCCTGTGCTGAGATTAAAGGTGTACCCCACCACCACCCGGCAAAAGAATTATATTTAATTGGGAAGGAAAGGGGGGATTAGAGGGAGTAGAAACAGACAGGTGAGAATAACTCGTGTATGTGTGTTAAAATACATTATGTGTGTGAAAATATAATAAAACTCACTTTTATAAAACATTTTCATGTCTATAACATATGTCAGAATCACTGCACTAAATATTTAAATAAGTAAAATAAAATGTTCACAAAGAGAGAGACCTAAAATCTAAGAAGGATAACTTTAAAGGGCTCTTAAAGTTCAGGGAAAAAAATAATAACTTCCTAAAGTTAACCCAAGGGGAACAATCCTTATCTCCCTCACAAAACTGAGTACTGCTTTGTAACCCAGGCTGTCTCTAACTCCCAACCCTTTCCTACCTCCTCTTCCCAAGTGCTAGGATTACAAGCATAGAGTCATAGCAAAACCCCATTTGTCTCCGATGACTTTGTCTTGAAATCTTTTGTTAGCAACCTCCAGTTTAATGAGATAAATAACAAGGCTCTAATTGGATATTATTGTTTCATTATATACCACCTAAAGTAATGCAGCCTACCTCAAAAGATCTGTAACAACTATTTTACTTTTAAGTGTATCTTTGTTAAAGATTACAACTGCAAAAATAACTGTACAAACCTTGGAAAAGGCCCAACTAGATGCACACATAATGGGTCTTTGATATTCACTGTATATTTTTAAATGTATTTATGGGTATGTGTATCTGTGTGAGTATACGCCATGTGTATGCAGGTACCCAGGGAGAACAGAAGAGGGCATTGGATCTCATTGAATTAAACTTGTAAGTCATTGTGAGCCGCTCTACATGAGTGCTGGGAACTGAACTCAGGTCCTCTGGAAGAGCAGGAAATGCTTTTAACCACTGAGCCATGTCTCCAGCTCCCCTCAAAGAACATTTCTGTTGGGAGATAATATAACATGGCCATGGATGAGCAGTAACTACCTCAAATCAATACTGTGTCAGAACTCTAGAGAATATACATAAAAAACAAAAGCAACATGCCTGACTTAAGCAAATTATCATTAGATATTTAACCTTAAAATAACCCTCACAAAGTCCTCAAAAGAAACACCACCATCATCCTTTTTCAATAATGAAGTATGCAAGCCAAGCACCATAAAGTTAAGTCTTTCACATTAAGAATTAATTAATGCGAGGCAGAGGCAGGCGGATCTCTGTGAGTTCGAGACCAGCCTGGTCTACAAGAGCTAGTTCCAGGACAGGCTCCAAAACCACAGAGAAACCCTGTCTCGAAAAACCAAAAAAAAAAAAAAATAAAGAATTAATTAATGCACTTAAACATTACACTGTGCACATGGGAATAGTGGACACTCTGTAAAAGAACCTCAACATACTGGCACTCAAGTTAACTAAGAAAATTGCTTATTAGACAAGCTCAACCTAACACTGGATATGATCACATGCTAAACGATGCTTACAGACTCTGTAATGGGATGAGAGGATAACTCAGAGAGCTGTATTTACTCTGAAATTGTACAATCCATTAATTTAGTATCACCTCTGGTCTCTCGAAGTGTCCCAAAGTGTAATGTCAGAAACAGTTTCCAGACAAAAGAATCTTACCTCTCTACTCGGATCTCAAGTGCAGCTCCAGTTTTGGAATTTTCTGGCACATGTTCAATTCTTAACACAGTGTCTATAAAAGTAACTTTCACTCTTCTTAGCACTAGAGCAAATGAGCAATCAATTGTCAATGAAAAACCACAAGTACACCAAATAAAAACCCGACCTCCACCTCGCCCCCTCCTCCAGGCTGCTGGGGACCAAGCAAAGGCCTCTTCCATGCTGGGCAAGTGCTTCTTCCCCATCACTGCTGCCTCCCATCCACTCTCAGTAAAGAAATAATTCCCAGTCTGGTAAGAAAATTAAAAAGGCAGATTTCTTTCCTTTTGAATGCCCAGAAACTGAATTTTGTAAAACACAACTGTACCCAAAGCATATCACCAAGCTACATCACAACAGAAACTTGGGATAATGTAGATTTGTAGCCTGCTGGATCCTTCCATGGGCTACAACTAAAACAAGGAGAAACTGAGTGGAATGTTTAAAACAGCCTGGATCCTGAAGTACTGAAGTGAGAACAGTAATTCTTTTAAAATCACTGCAATGGAATGGTCTCGGGCCCCAGACCACTACAGAAAGCTTGGGCTGTGAAGGTCTACATGATGCAAACCTGTTTCAATGGTTTCCGCAAACTTTTCCAGTCCTTCGAAGGGCTGGGATGCTTCTCCTTGCTCATCTGTCAGTTTCTGGCTAAGACACTCCTTTGCCAGCTGCATACTGCTGGTCATGAAGCTTGACCAGTACATAGGCTCAGACCCAGTCGCTGCAGAAAGTACAATAAATCTAAATGATTTCTGTTATGTTAATGGCATTTCTTAAGGTATTATATTTATGGTAGATTTTTCAACGCAATGATGTTACCTGTGAGAAATTATACTAGACATTTAAGAACCACCTTACAATAACAGAACAACAATAAAAATACAGGATAAAAAGCCTTGCAGAGTTAGGCAGTGGTGGTGCATGCCTTTAATCCCAGCACTCAGGAGGCAGGGGCAGGCAGATATTTGTGAGTTCGAGGCCAGCCTGGTCTACAAGAGCTAGTTCCAGGACAGGCTCTGAAGCTACACAGAGAAACCCTGTCTCGAAAAAACAACAACAACAAAAACAAAACAAATAAACAAAAAACCCTACAACATATTCTTATTTCAAGTTTTATTTTATCAAATTTTAATTCATATATTCATTCAACAAATTCTAGCAGGCATATTTACTAGTACATGGCACCATGCTGGACATACAGAGCAAGAGCTGGCAAATGCCCTCTGTAAAGGGCTCAGGCAGTGGACAGTTAGGCTTTGTGAGCAATGTGCTGTGTTGAGCAAAGCTCTCGGAGTGCCAAAGCAGCTACAGAGTAAACAATCAGCATGGGGATGTTTCAGTAAAATTTGACTTAATGAAAACAGGTGGTAGACTAATTTAGCCTGAGAGCTGAGGTCTGCTGACCAACTACAGAGATAGAAAAATTATGAGCTATGTACTTAAGACAGTTTACCACACATTAGAAGAAAAAGATGACAAGGATGAATACGGAGGTCTCACCAGGAACTCCAGCATCAGCAGATGACAACAGCTGCAGAACCGGTACAAATGCGGGTGGAATAAAAGGGTGTCCTCATAGGACTAAACACAAGGGCCCTAAGAACCCTTCCCAGACCTCTCCTGCTGAGGAAATCCATACTTCCATACACTGCTCAAAACAAATTGACATATTACTACAATTACTGCCTTCCAAAATGGAACTTAAAGGCCATTTTAATAGGCTGCTTAAAAGAGGAAAATATTTCAAAGCTCAACTTCCAAAGGGAGTATTTATTTACCATGGTTAAAAGATAGAATCAGAGCCAGGACTGGTGGCACAGGCCTTTAACCCCAGCACTAGGGAGGCAGACAGGAGGGTTTCTGTGAGTTCCAGGATAGCCAGACCTATATAGTGAGATCCTTCCTCCAAAAAAAAACCCTAATAATGATGATGATGATCAAATAATTTTTGTTGTCACTTGGGTTTTGTTTGAGATAGAATCTTACTATGTACTCAGGCTGACCTGAAACTTGCATCATCCTTCCTGAACCTCAGCCTGAGAGATGAGATCACTGGTATGTGCTACCATACCCTGCTAGATGCAATGTTCTTATAAAGTAAATTATTTAGGAGCTAGGATGATAGTTCAGTCAGTAAAGTTCTTGCTTTGCAAGCATGAGGGCCTAAGTCTGTGCATTTAAAAAAAATTAATATGGTGATCCTGGCACCAAGGAAGAGTAACAAGCAGATCCCTGGGACTCTCTGGCCCACCAGCCTTGCCTATGTAAGTCCAGACTAAAAGAACCTGTCTCAAAAACATAAGGTACACAAAAACAATAGCAGAGGATGTCCTTTGGCTTTAAAATTCATGCACACAAACACAAATATCAGATTGTTTCCAGGTGTTGTGAAATACTGCTACAATTCCAACACTCAAGAGACTGAGGCAGGAAGATCATGGGCTCCAATCATGGACAGCCTGGCTGCATAGTGAAACTTCCCAAAAATAAATGAATTAATGAATAAAATATTTAGAGCATTTCTTTTTTTTTTTATTTTAATTTATTTATTTATTAAGAATTTCTGCCTCGTCCCCACAACCGCTTCCCGTTTCCCTCCCCCTCCCCCGATCAAGTCCCCCCCCCCCTCATCTGCTCGAAGAGCAATCAGGGTTCCCTGACCTGTGGGAAGCCCAAGGACTGCCCACCTCTATCCAGGTCTCCTAAGGTGAGCATTCAAACTGCCTAGGCTCCCACAAAGCCAGTACGTGCAGTAGGATCAAAAACCCACTGCAATTGTTCTTGAGTTCTCAGTATTCCTCATTGTCCGCTATATTCAGCTAGTCTGGATTTATCCCATGCTTTTTCAGACCTAGGCCAGCTGGCCTTGGTGAGATCCCAATAGAACATCCCCATTGTCTTAGTGTGTGGGTGCACCCCTCGTGGTCCTGAGTTCCTTGCTCGTGCTCCGTCTCCTTCTGCTCCTGATTTGGACCTTGAGATTTCTGTCCGGTGCTCCCGTGTGGGTCTCTGTCTCTGTCTCCTTTCATCGCCTGATGAAGGTTAATATTCCTGAGGATGCCTATGTGTTTGTCTTTGGATTCACCTTATTTAGCTTCTCTAGGAACATGAATTATAGGCTCAATGTCCTTTATTTATGGCTAGAAACCAAATATGAGTGAGTACATCCCATGTTCCTCTTTTTGGGTCTGGCTTACCTCACTCAGGATAGTGTTTTCTATTTCCATCCATTTGTATGCAAAATTCAAGAAGTCCTTGTTTTTTACTGCTGAGTAATACTCTAATATGTATATATTCCATACTTTCTTCATCCATTCTTCCGTTGAAGGGCATCTAGGTTGTTTCCAGGTTCTGGCTATTACAAACAATGCTGCCATGAACATAGTTGAGCATATACTTTTGTTGTATGATAGGGCCTCTCTTGGGTATATTCCCAAGAGTGGTATTGCTGGATCCAGGGGTAGGTTGATCCCGAATTTCCTGAGAAACCGAAACACTGCTTTCCAGAGTGGTTGCACAAGTTTGCATTCCCACCAGCAATGGGTGAGTGTACCCCTTTCTCCACAACCTCTCCAGCAAAGGCTATCATTGGTGTTTTTGATTTTAGCCATTCTGACAGGTGTAAGGTGGTATCTTAAAGTTGTCTTGATTTGCATTTCCCTGATCGCTAAGGAAGTTGAGCATGACCTTAAGTGTCTTTTGGCCATTTGAAGTTCTTCTGTTGAGAATTCTCTGTTCAGATCAGTGCCCCATTTTATAATTGGGTTGATTAGCCTTTTACGGTCTAGTTTCTTGAGTTCTTTATATATTTTGGAGATCAAACCTTTGTCAGTTGCAGGGTTGGTGAAGATCTTCTCCCAGTCAGTGGGTTGTCTTTTTGTCTTAGTGACAGTGTCCTTTGCTTTACAGAAGCTTCTCAGCCTCAGGAAGTCCCATTTATTCAATGATGCCCTTAGTGTCTTATTTAGAGCATTTCTACTTTCAAAATAGATCACTATAGCTCTATGAATTATCATTTAAACTTGTTTTCCAGGAAACATTTGGATACATTCATACATGGCATTACCTAGATGGTCATGTCTATCCATTTCTCTGAGTTACACTACAATTGAGAAGCACATCCCTTATCCAGACCCACCTTACATAACTGTCATCATTATGGATGTGGTGAAAGTTTTTTTGTTGGCAGTGGTAGATTTTTAGGGATTTTTGTTGGTTTGTTTTGGTTTGGTTTTTTTGGTTTTTCAAAACAAAAAAACAGGGTTTGACTGTGTAGCCCTGGCTATACTAGAACGTAGACCAGGCTGGCCTTGAATTCAGAGAGATCCACGTGCTGCCTTCTCCCAAGTGCTGGGATAAAAGGCGTGCACCACCACCAGTGTCCTGCTAATGTGGTGAATTTTAAATTTAGTGTTATAATCATTCACTGTCATTATTCTTCAACACTATACCGATGAAAGTCCCTTCAAGTTCAGTCCTGGAGGCTGGAGAGGTCAGCAGTGAAGAAAGAGCCTGTACTACTCTTACCTGAGTTTGGTTCCCAGCACCCACACCAGGCAGCTCACAACTACGTGTAACTCTAGTTCCAGGGGATCTGATGCTTCTGACCCTCAGGGAAATACACTCATGTGCATACATACCTACTCCCACTCCCTACATATACATAATTTAAAATAACAAAAACTTAAATTTAAAAAAGTCTAACCTTGTGCCCTTCCAACATTTCTCCATGAATCATTGAACAGTCTTCCTCATTTGAAAACACAATATTTTTTAATCTTCAAAATAGAAGTCACTTCAGATAATTGGAAATAATCACATATTACCTATACATTAGTGTTCTGGAGTGTGAATAAGGAGGGAACATTCTAAAGTTATACTTACATGCATCTTTCAAAGTACTAAATCCTCTTATTTAATCAAATGAACATCTCACAAATCCAGTTCAAAGTCATAAATCCAACGCTCAATTTTTACAATTGGGCTGACTTCTCAACCTTCATAGGGTCGAGATTGAATAAGCAGAACAGGCACATGCAACACACCTACCTACACGAGGTCTAGGTCGGAAGACCATCTCTAGTCCTCTCACTTCCAGTGCACAATTGTCCTGCAGCAAGGAGCCCCATGGAACTGACAGGGAAATTGACTGAATGAATCCTTCAGTGACTTCTAAAGGTGCGTCTGCTGACTCCAGGATTTCATTAAGACACTAGAGAGAAAAACCAAGTTCATTTTGAGATCACACGTGATTTAAAACACAGAATGCCAACTTTTTCAGCGATGTGAATATGCCCACAAATGTGCTGAGCACTGGAGATTTAAAAAAGCCACAGCTGGGCTGGAAAAAGGCTCAGCAGCTAAGAGCACTGGCTTTTTTTCCAGAGGAACAGGGTTGGTTTCTGGGACCCACAGGGTAGCTCACAACCCTCTGTAGCCCCAGTTCCAGGGGATCCAACACTCTTCTGGCCTCCACAGACACACCTTCTGACAGCACACAGAAAGGCCATAGAAGGCAAAACATTTGCTCTTTGCCTGCTAGTCCGCCCACACACTGACAAGTCCATTCCTTCACTCTGCGAGTACAACAGAGTCTGAGTTTTCAGGATCCCAGTGTACACTGAAGACTGTCCAGCTTCGTGAACTGAACAACTGTTGGATTCTCTGACTTTCCTTTGGTAGAGAGCCATTGTTTGACTAGTTAGAGCACAGCCTGTAAGCCACTCTAAACCCCCCTTTCTGTATACATACACATTCAATCAGTTCTGTTCCTCTAGAGTCCTGACTAATAGAAAAAGCTTGCCTCAGGAGGTCTGTCTGAACCCTAAAGATTTTCCAAGGATTTATACACAAGGATTTTTTTTTAAGTCTCATAAGACAGGGTTTCTCTGTGTAACAGAGATGTCCTAGAACTCTCGTAGACCAGGCTGGCCTCAAATTCAGAGATCTACCTGCCTCTGCCCCCCAAGTGCTAGGATTAAAGGTAGCAAGGATTTTTTATTACAATTTTAAACTAATAAATTTACATGTATTTGTTGTTTATTATTTAGTGGGGGAATATTTGCACATACGTGTATGAAATATCTGTGTTGTGTTCTAACTGGTGAACACACAGATGCATGTGCTCACTGTGTGTGCACATATAAGGTCAGAGGTCAATGTCGGGTATCCTCCTATCCTCCACAGCCACTCCCCACCTTTCCAAACAAGGTCTCTCACTAGATCTAGAACTTGGTGATTGTGCTAGGCTAGCTCCACAGGGGCGTCATTGTACCTGGCTTCCTACAAGGTGCTGCACATCCAAACTCCAGTCCTCATGCCTTCAGGGAGAGCACTTTATCAACTAAGCTTCACAGACCCCAGCCCTCAACTCTTACATCCTCATCCCATCCTAGCCCCGAGGACTGGTGCCCTACCTTTTCAAAGTCTAACTTCCCACGGCTTCTGTGACATGCCACCATCTTTCCAATCCATTACCACTTAAAATATGCTCACGTAAATGTCATTTTCTGCCTGTTTCCCCACCCACTCTCCACACTGCACGCATTCTCTGCGCACCACTCATATTGACGGCTCCCAACACTTATCAATGCCAATCCTCTAATCCCTCAACCTGTCATACAGCCCCTCAAATCCCCCTTCTTCCTCCCCTTCTTCTCTTCTATTAGGCTGGTGTAAAACAAACTGCAAGGGCCAGAAGGTAAAGCCTGACAATTGGAGTTTAATCCCAGGACAAGGAGAGAACTCACTACCACAAATTGTCCCCCAACCTCCACATGTACGCCACAGCATCTGGTAGGAGAGAGCCAACTTGTCCTGACTGCCACATGTATAATGTGACATGCACAAGCCAACTGCATACACATGCATACAAAAGTAAGTACTTTTTACAATCTCTGCTTCAGAATTTGAAGGACTCTTACAGAGCATCATCTGCACCCTGCTGGATTTGAAGAGGTGGTCATCGGCTGGAGAGAGGCAGGTGAGGCAAACTCCAGAGCCAGTATGTTCAACTTTTGAAAACACTGATTGTACAAGGTCCAGTCAGATGTTGTTGGAGAACTGAGTCCTTTCCGTTGACCAATGCCAGTTGTAGGCACTGCATTTTGGGGTGTTTCTCATGGGTTTAGTGAGCACACTCATCGGATGTAAGGGCTTTGCCAGGACAAAGAACTCAGACAACAAACAGTGACCATGACATTTTTTGGTGCAAGTTCGACTTTGGAAAGTGCTATGGGGCATCTTCTCTCCCAGCCACTGATGTGGCATCACTGGTTGTCACACACAATGCACTTTTCATGGTACATCACAACCCAATGGAGACCTGGTGCATTGTGAAGAACAAAAAAGGAGAACCGTACTATGGCAAGCCCATAATACTATACAACAAAAGGACAGGAGACTGACCACTAAACAACTTCACAAAAAAATATAATATTGAACCAAACTGAAAAAAAAAAACAGAAAAAGAAAAATAATAAAAATTAAAAAATATAATATTGTGAAGAACCCATTTTACAGAGCTGCGGGAACACTTGTCTTTTGGATAAGTCACTGTCAGTTCCATAGAAATCTTGTGGAATCATGACATTTCTCCCTTCTATAGTATCCCAGCAGTGTACAGACCTGACTTTTCCTGTAGGGAAAACCCCGCACACAAACCATGAAGACTTGGTATGAAAGCATTCACTCAGTCAAACCTTTGTTCTCAACATAAAACTAGTCCTGCACAACTTTCTTTACTGACATTACTCATTGATTAGAAAGGAGCCCGAAGCAGGAGGCATTGAATAGACAAACAGTATGTCTACTCTAACAGCAGACTCAGGAAGGTGTAATCTACTGGTCTTCTGCTTAACCTAACAAATTGCTAATACTCTGTATTTACCCTTCACCTTGGTTTCAGTAAACATAAGATCATAGTCCAGGAAATTAACTGTCTATACAGGGAAAAGGCCTGAGTCGCTAAAACTAGCTTCAGAGAGAAAAAAATCTCACTTGGGCACCCTGCTAAAGTCAAAAGCAAATTGCAAAAATCCAAAACTACAATTACTTTTATGGCAAGCTAATAACCTTTTCTATCTCACCAGCAACCATTGCCTCTAATAGCTGTCCAGTAAGAGTCTTCCTGCTATTATGTTTGACATTTTTCATATTAAAAATGGCTTCAAGTCTTTTGATAAGTTTAAGTCATTTTAAAAAGTTTTTTGAATACCTGACCCCGAAAATGAAGTCCTCCATATAAAATAGAAAAGATACGCTCAGAAATGCTTGTTTCTGTATTAAGTATTTCCATAATTTAAATTCAAAACCTGGGTGTCCTATTTCCATCTTCGGACAAGCTGGGTCTAAGGATGATTTTTATTCCCTGGATTTTTCTAGCAAGAATGTTGAGTTTTGTCATTTATATGAACAATTAAAAGATATCTAAGCATTTTCAATTGTGCAAAAGCCATGATAGCCTTTGCACTTTAGGGATCTGTCAACATCAGCAAACCATCTAAGAAACTAGATTCAATGGGATTCTCTTCTCTATATATACCAAATTTACTACCCAAATTTTGTAGCCACATTAACATCCTAAATATAGTGGTTTGAAGGCTATATTACAATATTGAAGGATAATATCAAAAGAAAACAGGAGTTCTTACTAGAGTCGATAGTTCAAGAATTTACACTGGGCCCACTAAGCTACAGTACACTTTCCCTAAGTGTGAGATAAGTAAATAGCTTACACAGACTTCTCTGTACATTGAATGATAAGAAGCTGAAATTCACTCCTGTGCAATTCAAAGTTTATTGATTGTAGCAGCAGGAGAACCTTCTCAAGCTGCTCAGTCACACTGACTTCAATGACATTCTCTTTGCTAGTCCTGTGAGATCTAATGGCGCTGGAGCTGACAGTGGAGCCACCTGAACCAGCTCTGAAGCATCGCTTCTCTTTAAAGCCATCTGTTTTCAGTGTTCACCAGTGAGTTCCATGCATACAGTCAGAAAAAAGGTTGTACTCTAGTCTCTACTGTAGCATTGAGCAAATAATTGCAAATTAGTGCTTCTTGAACTGAAGTCAATTTTTATTACACACACATACACCTATAAAATATAAGTACCAAAGTAATAAAAAATTATTAAAGTGAAATTAAAAGGCTCCAGGGTAATAATAATTCATTGCTGTCTATCTTCTTCCTAAACATACCGAGTTCTCATGAGAAAAGGATCAAGTCAGGCAAAAAAGATCCAGCCGAGTGAAAAGAATCAAGCTGAACATAGTGGACCACACCTTTAAGTCCAGCACTCAGGAGGCAGAAGCAGGTGGATATTTGAGATTTCGAGGCCACCCTGATCTACAAAGTGAGTTTCAGGACAGCAAGGGTTGTTAAACAGAAAAACCCTAGAGAGAAAGAGAGAGAGAGAGAGAGAGAGAGAGAGAGAGAGAGAGACAGACACGGAGGGAGGGATCACTGTTCACCTCACTATCCCATCGTCCAGCCCTTGGTAGTATCACATGTTAAACACTCCATAACTGTAGAGAGCTGCATGGAGCCACACCTGACTCCTATTATGGCTAAGGTCTGATCACGCAATGATTGTCAGCTGCTTGCATATGCGTGGACCTATGGGCAGTGCCCACCTGGCAATCCGGGGTTGGTGGCCCGTGCCTTTTTAAGGGCTGGGAGAGGTTTGCCCGGGGAGAGAGAGAAAGAGAGAGAGAGAAAGATTGCTGTAAAAAAGTCCTGAATAAACTGCTTGCAGGAAGAGCTCTGTGTTGCGTCTTCCTTGCTGGTCGAGGCGGGCGTGACACATAACTATATTAAACCTATAAATAAAGAGCCTCCATTTAAAAAATTAAAATAGACAAGAGTAGTGATGACTCAGTGAGTAAGGCACCTGCCACCAACCATGGCAACCTGAGTTGGAGCCCCAGAACACACACAGTGGGAGGAGAGAACCAATTCCTACAAGATGCCCTCTAATATCCACAGGCATGCTGTGGCATGTTCGTGTGTGTGTGTGTGTGTATGTGTGTGTGTGTGTGTGTACACTGCTTAAATGGGAAAAAAATTTTAAAGTTCCCTCATTAGGTAAATAATTAAAACAAATCTCTAGTTTTCAGAAGTTGGAAAGAGTGAGTCACAAAGTCCACTCTCTCTCAGACAGAAACTTTCCTTTCCTTTTCTGCCCACTTCTAGGAACCCAGAGCTCATAAAACTGAAAGGTAGCCCATTACAACTGTGGCACAGTTCCACACCCTTGCTCTCTATCTCCCTCCACTTCAAGCTCTTCATGAGTCCATGATGTCCAAAGTGAAGTCTCTAGCTTCCTGGTTTCCTTACTGTCAGGTATTTATGAATCGGGTTTAGAGATAGCAGCTTCCACCTGTGCAAAGTAGTAGTACTAACTATGCTAACCACACACATGATATCAAGTAGTGAGGAATATATGCCACCTGGCAGACAGTTTCCAAAACCACACAGCATACTTAATCTAACTTTTCCAAGTAAGGATAATACTTCTAAAATGAGTAAGAAAATATCTACTTTTTAAAGAATATTTGCACTATCTTTTAAAACTACTTGGAAATATTTCCACTGGTCCTTGACTTAAAATAAACACAATAGAGCAAGGGCTTAAAATTGTCTAGTCTTTAAACTCATTAACTATACAGGTTTATAAAAGATTTGAAATACAGATAGATTGTCCCAACCTGTCTAAAAAACATTCTGGACAAAAAAAATTGAAAGAAATGGGTTTAGATGTAATTTCACAGCTGCACACAACAGCACACTACCACCTTCTGATTCATCATTAAGAATAACTGATTACATCTTTGCCAAGTGCAACCAATTCCTCTGTATAACTGCAACTTACGAACTGAACCGCTGCCTGAAGTGATGGCTCAGCAGTTAAGAGCAACTGCTGTTCTTACAGGGGATCCGAGTTCAGTTCCTAACCACCCACAACAGCTTGCAGCCTACCTGTAATCCAGCTATAGGAAATCTGATGTCTCCTGGCTTCCATAAGTGCCCACATGCACATGGACACACACACACACACTGAAAAATAAATTTTTGTTTGAAAAACTGAAATGTCGTCATTCACATAATTCTTCCATTAGCATGTATGGATCTCTGTAGACATCTTGTTTCCAGTCCTGAAAGTCATTAAAGTGAAGTATACAGAGTAACTGAATTCAGGGAACTGGAGAGATGGCTTGGTGGTTTAAGAGCACTGGTTGTTCTTCCTGAGAACCCTGGTTCAATTCCCAGCACTCACATGGCTGATCACAATTGTCTATAATCCCAGTTCCAGGGGACCCAACACCCACAGCAAAAAAAAAAAAAAACAATGTGCATAAAGGAAAAACAAATTTTTTAAAAGTAACTGAATTTGAAAACTGAACTTTGTAAGGCTGCATCCACAAGAAAGCAAGGGTTTAGGAGTCAGAGTTGAATGCTTGTTGTAACACTTGTAGCTGTGACACAGGACAAAGTATTAAAAGCCATTCACAAAACAGTTACAATAATGTCCACCTGCTAGGTCTAGTGTCATCTTTAAAGAGCACATTTCATCAACAACCAGCCCTCCTTCAGAACTCCCTCTTCAGTTCTCAGCAAAGCCAGAGACCAAGGAAATCTATCCAGAGGATGTCAGAACCCAATGCCCTCTTCAGCCCCTGCTCATCTTTAAGCCTCTGAATAAGATGCTTGGTCACAGAAAAGAAAAGGGTAGCCCACTCAAAACGGTACCAGGGAGGCTAAGGCAAGGGCACTGTCATGAATTCTGGGCTGCATAGTTAAGTGCCAGGGCAGCTAGGGCTACATAATAAACCTGTCTCAAAAAAAAAAAAAGTTTCCCACTTGCTGATAAGAAAGAATGGCAGTTATACAGCAGCCTGACACAGTACCTGGCATGCATGCAGCGTACTGTCCTTTCAGGATTACTGAACTTGGTTAATTACTTTGACCACCATTTTTCAGCTGACTGTGACAGCTGGAACTACTCTGGTATAAAACAAGATCTTTTCGTTGCTCAAACTAGAGCTCTTTAAACTAGCACTGAGTACTCTCCCTGATTTAAGTCACCTAGTTTCGATATAATAATAATTAGCACAAACTGCAACGGAGTTTCCACAATTTACGCTTCTTGGTGGCAAAAAGAAGCCACTACAAACCCAAGGCCTTCAAGTAAAATACGAGGCATTTTAACCCATCTATGCGAATACAACTGTAATTGGTGAACTGAAATACACACGAAGCCCAGAAAACAGTGAGTCAACTCACAGCCTCTGGGAGCAAACAGGCTCTTTCAAAAACAGCTGAGCTTGCAGCTTCGGCGTGCTTGCAACATTAGCGTTTACGACCTGTCGATCTATCTCACGTGAAGCAAAAAGGCAAATCTAAACAGCACTCCTGGGGCTGCACAACCACTCACAAGCTGGGAAAACGACCTGGCCTCCGTAAACATATAATCAAGCAAAGCAGGCAAACCGGCAGAAGAGGCCTTCACCTAACTTTCTCCCAGACGTCCAAAGCTATTCGAAGACGACCAGGCAAACCAAACCAGCATCCAACCTTCTCTTCACCTTTAACCTTTCCGAACGTCATCCAATAAGATAGGGTTTGTTTGCCTTGAACCCCCCGCCCTTCTCCCCGCAGACCCTCACAGCCCAAGAGGCAGGACTGGTCACCTCCTTCCTGCTTCACAGACCACCAAGCAATGACTCAATTGTTCACATGGCGTGTGCCTCCATTATATCGTTTAAGTCAGCCAACGTGATATAAGGTCGCAAACTTGCTACACTTGACACTCTTCCCTGAGCTCCTCCACGCTTGAACCCAAACAATTCCCAAGGAGGGACTGAACGTCACCGACCCTGGATGACAATCGCTCAGGTTTTGCCCTAAGGAGAACGAGTCCCCAGCCTGCTGGGTGATGGCAGCTTACCCATTTATCCAAGGGGACCTGGGCGAGGGACCCGGTGCCCTGATACAGGTCCAGGCTCAGCTGCTCCAGGCTCAACTTCTCCTGTAAGAAGTGGCCCAGGTATCTCTGCAGGAGGTACCGACAGGCCCTCTTCTTAATCGACTCCGAAAATGGCCAAGGCATGTTGGTGAGGACTGGCGGCTGGGAGGGCCGGGGCTGCGCGCTGCGGCGACCGGATCCGGCCTGCGTCCCCAGGCTGCTATGGGGTCTAGGTTCGCGGGGACCACTGCATGACAGTTCTGCGCCGCCTTCTCTCAGGGCGACCCCATGGCCCGCGTCGCGTCGTTCGCACTAGGCCCGGCGGGAACAGGTCTGTGAGCGGAACCCGGCGCCCCAGGCCAGAGGTTTCCAAAGTGTTCTGTCGGTCCGGATAGTATGCACGAGAGCCAAAGGGCAGGCGGCGGCGGCAAAGCGGACTCCGACACTGCGCGACAAATTTGTTGTCATCCACGAGGCGCGCTCCCACCTCCCAGACGCTCCTGGCGCGTTCTCGAGACCTAGACTCCAGGCGCGCACTCGAATAACTGGCGCAAGCGGAAGTGACGCCATACTGTGGTGCTGGAAGGCAGGAAAAAAAGAGTCCGGGCGGGATCATTTCCGGTGATGAATGGGCGGGGCGACTGTGGGGGCGGGGATGGTGCAGGCGCCTCAAGTCCAGCTCCAGACGCCTCGGGACGAGGAAGAGGAGGAACATGGGCGCTCGCAGGTGAGTGGGCGGGCAGGCAGGCTGCGGGCCGAGGGCCTTGACGTCGCGGTGGCGGCGGAGTGGTAAGTGCGGGAGTACATCCGCATTCATCCTGACAGACCTGGGGGCGGGTCCGGCCTGGGCTGTCCTCCGGGAAGTGGTTCGCCGGACGCCACGGGTTGCAGGGCGAGGACTGGAGACTTGGCATTTCTGTCCGGGTTTTGACCGGTGCCTATTGTCAGCAAGTTGTTCCCCACCGCATGCTGGTATTGTTTGCAAAGCATCCTCCAGTTCTAGTACTTTGCTGTTTGCAGAGCTCCTGTCTCTCGTAGTATGCCGCGCCGACGACCAGGAAACTTGGGATTCGGGGCGTTTTGGGGCGATACTGTTTTCTCTGTTAAAATCCGGCGCCTTGCAACCCCAGGGGAACCTCATCGAAGACGTTGTGATCTTGGGGAGATCTGCGCAGCCGTATTTTTCCCTTTTATGAGACAATCTTGCAAAAGCACAGCTGGCTCCTTCCTGAGGCTGCCCCTAAAGGCCGGAAAGTCTGCTGTCCTGGGTTCCATTCCAGACACTTGCCACTTAGCCACCTTGAACCTGTTCTGCCCTCTCTGAGCTTCCGTTGCCGCCTGAGCCAGCTGTGAACAGATTAATATTATAAACTTGAGAATTGAGGAAAATGAAATGTGAACAGGGAAGGAACCTAAACAGAGTCCTGGATTGAGGCAGTGCTGCATCTTTAGAATCGGTTCTTTTGGTTTGGTTTGGTTTTTTGAGACAGTCTCTCACTATGTAGCTCAAGCTGACTTTGAACTTGGTATGTAGCCCAGACTGGCTTAGAACTTGGAGTCTTCATGCCTAAGTCTCCCAAATGCTGAAATTTTGGGGTTACACCACCACATAGCACTCAAGCGCTTTTTCCCTGAGTTGTAAGAAAAGGCCTCTCATGGTTAAAAGATAGTATTTTCGTCAGAGACTTGGAGAAATCGAGAAAGTAGGGCACCTGGATGTCTGAGTTCTTTTCGAGACAAGAACCACCTGCAAGGCTCATCACAGGAATTCTTGATAAATTCCAGGAACTTGAGGGAGCAGAGGAAGGAGTGTGTTCTCATGACAGATGTAAGCCATTGCAAGGATTCGATTTGTACACCTGGAAAAAAATACAGAGAAATACAAGATAATCTGGCCTAAGTTTGCTAACTACAGTGCTGAAAACAGTCAGGTGTGAGGCTTAGAAGACTAACGGTGGAAAAAGCCAGACCAGCACCTAAAGGACAGAACAAGTAATCGAGATCCCATGGTTTGAGCCAGACTCTAACACCGAAGATTAGAACAAGTTGGATTCTAGATATATTTGGACACTAATAAGACGCTTGCTAGGCATGGTGGCACGCACTTAATCTGAGCACTAGAGGGGCAGGTGTGCACAGCTCTCCTTAAATTCAAGGCCAGCTTGGTCTATATGGGAAGACCCTGCTTGAAAGAGAGACTGAGCCTAACAAGTAATAATAACAGTGCTCTTTGTAGTATAAATAAAGCAAAGTGTGGAATAGGCCCTTGCCAAATTCAGGCCTTGGGAATTTTGAACTGGACTTTGGACTTAGTTCTATGACTGTTGTTAACGTGGTTTCCTAACGTAATATAAAATTGCATTCAGGCTGTGTCTGGGATGCCTGCACTTACAGAAACAAAAAAAAAAAGTGAAAATGAAAGATCCCACAATAACAAGCGTACTACGCCCAAATTGCTAAGTGTGTTGCCTTGTACCTTTTATACTTTCTAGGAGAGAGTCATCATAGTTAGGATCTAAGAACTGTTATCACACCTTGAGCTCAAATGGGATGCAGACTCATCCCAGCTCCCAGGGCTGTTTTTAAGTTTAGCTTAGGCAACTTCCTAGTGTAGAATGCTGGCACCATAGCATTGATTGAGGAAGATAAAGATAATTACTCAACCAGATACTGTCAACTTTGTAAAAATTAGTGGCAGGTGCATCAATTCAAATTAATATTCTTAATAGGGATTCACACAGTTCACTGTGATGGTGTTGATTATACTGCAGACCTGCCTGGGAGAGCCCAGTGGAGCATGCCTATCATCCCAGTACCTGGGAAGTAAAGACACAAGGACCAAGAGCACAGTGTCATCCTTGGTTACATACCAGGTTTGAAACCTGCCTGGGTTGATGTGACCCTGTCTCAAACAACAGGGAAAGATCACAGGCCAGTAACATGGTTCAGCAGGCAGTCACTTGGGTTTGGTTCCCCAGGACCCACGAGGTAAAAGTCGAGAACCAGGTTCCCCCAGTTGGCCTCTATCTCCACATGAGCACCATGGCGTGTGCACAACCCACCCATCCACCCCCAACATGCACACGCGTGTGCATGCATGTGCACACACACACAAATAAGTATATAAATGTGAGGAATATTATTTAGAAAAAGGCGTGTACAGAACAAGACTACAGTGTCGAAACTGCCGTGCCCCAGTAGCAGCCATCAGTGTGCATGTGTGAAGAGCACTGACCCTGGACTCAGAAACCTGCAGTTTTCAGATCTGCAGCTGCCTTTTTATTTTTTGAGCATGATGGTGAATGCCTGTAATCACAGCTTTTGGGAAGCAGGGACAGGAGTGTGGCTCATTCAAGGAAGGCTACCCTCAGCTACATAATGACACTTTATCTCAATAAAGAAGACCAGGAGAACTGAAGAGATGGCTAACAGCTCTTGCTGCTCTCCAAAGGACCCAGATTTGTCCCAGCACCGTGTCAGGTGGCTCATAAGACACATACCTACAAATGATTAAGAATAGTAAACTTTGGGGCTGGAGAGAAAGTTAAGAGCACTGGCTGCTTTTCCAGAGGTCCTGAGTTCAATTCCCAGCAACCACATGGTGGCTCACAAGCATCTGTAATGAGATCTCGTGCCCTATTCTGGCCTGCAGGGATACCTGCAGGCAGAGCACTATATACATAATAAATCCTTTACAAATATATTAATTGTCCTATTGTCAAATGATTAATAATAATAAACTTTGAGAACAAGGCCAGGCGTGGTGGTCCACACCTTTCTTCCCAGCACTCCAGAGGCAGAGACTTGCCTGCTTTAAGTAGTAAGTGCCATACCGGTCAGAGATACATAATGAGACTCTGTTTCAAAATAAATAACAACAAAACTGACTGTAGGGCTGGAGAGATGGTTCAGTAGTTAAAAACCACTGGCTACTCTTCTAGAGGCCCCACGTTTCATACACAACACCCATATGCTAACTCCTCAGTCTAACTACAGCCCCAGGGAATCCCGACATCCTCTTCTGGTCTCCTCAGCATCAGGTTCTTACTTGATACACAGACATAGATGCAGGCAAGACACCCATATACATAAATGTATTTTTTAATTTTTACAAAACAAATTTATAATGTGTACTAATAAGCAGGAATGGGGAGCTAGGCATCAAACCTAAGGCCTCACACATACTCAGCAAACTCTACTATTGAGCTCTATCACCAGCCCCAAGAGATATTTTTTTCTTTGGAGACACCATCTCATTGTCACCAAGATTGACCTAGTACTTGCAGATGACACTCTTAATTCACCCTCTTTCTGCCTCATGCCCCTGAATACTGGGTTTACAAGCGTGCCGCCACACCTGACCCCAGCATAATTCTTTTTTTTTTCAGTGTTAATTTTTTTTTTATTGCGAAAAGAAGAAAAAAAACATAAACAAAAAACAAGTTTCACCTCCTCCCAGCCTCCCATTTCCCTTCCCCTCCTCCCACCCTTCTCCCCCTCCCCCAACTCCTCTCCCCCTCCCTCTCCAGTCCACAGAGCAGTCCGGGTTCCCTGCCCTGTGTTAAGTCCTAGGTCCTCTCCGTCCATATCTAGGAAGGTGAACATCCAAACTGGCTAGGCTCCCACAACGCCAGCACATTAAGTAGGATCAAAACCCCCTGCCATTGTCCTTGGTGTCTCATCAGCCCTCATTGTTCGCCATGTTCAGAGAGTCCGGTTTTATCCCATGCTTTTTCGGTCACAGTCCAGCTGGTCTTGGTGAGCTCCCCGTAGATCAGCTCCTCTGTCTCAGTGGGTGGATGCACGCCTCGTGGTCCCGAATTCTTTGCTCATGTTCTCTCTCCTGCTCCTCCTTGGGACCTTGGGAGCTCAGTCCAGTGCTCCTGTGTGGGTCTCTGTCTCGATCTCTATCCATCACCAGATGAAGATTCTATGATGATATGCAAGATATTCGTCAGTATTGCTCTAGGATAGGGTCATTTCAGGTTCCCAATCCTCAGCTGCCCAAGGAACTAACTGGGAACCTCATCTTGGGCACTAGGGAGCCCCTCTAGGGTCAAGTCGCTTGCCCACCCTAAAGTGGCTCCCTTAACTAAGAATTGTGGTTCCGTGCTCCCCTATCCACCTTTCCTTTATCCCAATTCTCCCGTTTCCCAGGTCCCCCCACCTTCCCTTCTACCTTTTCTCTCCCCATCTCCCCTTACCCCCATCCCACCCCCCCCCCAAGATCCCATTTTCTCCCCGGAAATTTGGTCTACTTCCCTTAGCGAAGAGGACAACTATATGTTTTTCCTTCGGTTCACCTTCTTCCTTAGCTTCTTTAGGTTCACCTATTGTAGACTCCGTGGTCCTTATTTATGGCTAGAAACCAATTATGAGTGAGTACATCCCATATTCATCTTTTTGGGTCTGGGACACCTCACTCAGGATAGTGTTTTCTATTTCCATCCATTTGCATGCAAAATTCGCGAAGTCCTTGTTTTTTACCGCAGCGTAGTA